GCTACATCCTACTTTTATACTCAAATGTTTTAAAGGTTATATATGTTTACTTTAATGGTTTTAAAATTCCGGCCCTTTTTATTTGTACAAGGCGCTGCAGGATTTAACCTTTTTTTTTTTTTTTTTAGATCATTATATTAAGCCGTTTAATAAATATTACAATCCACATAAAATTTACCATTAAGTTATTAGCCGGTGCTAGAAAGAGACATTATTTTCGACATATCAACGAGCACCGTTACAATTTGTAACGGTGCTTGTTGATACGTCGTAAATAATGTCTATCTTGCACCGGCCATTAAACACTTATTTGTGATACAAATGTGTGTTTTTATAATTTATAACTTTTTAGACAAGTTTTCAAAACTATAAATATACTATAAACTAAGAATTAAATAGATGTTTACAAAAATATAAAGAGTGAAATAAGATTGTATAATAGATAATACCAAAAATATGTTAGGTAAAACAAAAAAAAAAAAGGCGGAAAAGTGTAATTAGTGACAAGTTAGGGGTCGTTATATTTTAAATACTTATGTAAAAAGTAGTAAGTAAAAGTAAATAGTACTACTAGACCAAAATACTTTAGTAAAAGTAAAAGTGTGCAATCTGTTAGTACTTTTTGTTACAAAGTAAAAAGTACTTTTGTGGGTCGCAAAACTGTGTACATCCAACTTTAAAATAAATACAAGAAATAAATTTTTAAATCATCTTGAAATAAAATTTAGGTAAGTTTTGTTTCTATTTATGGCTATATTTATACCTAATTATTGTATATATGCTATAGCATATACTCAGTTCACTAATCAATCATATATTTATTGTAAAAAACTAGCATATTTACACTTTATAAGTATATATCTTGATTTTTTGATAATCACATTTGTTTTTTTTATATAGCTCCTGTGTCGTATTTGTAAACATGTGCATCACGTAGAGTTTGGACTGTTGTAATTGTAATGAAAACAATAATAGAAACAATAACTACTGTTATTCTATTAACTTTTGTAGAAACAATAACAATACCTTTATATTGCAATGCTGTAATTCAATAAAAATAAATATTGTATCGCAATTCATCTTCATAATACAATAACAATATCTGTAAAAAAAGGTATTGTAATGACACACTGCAATAACAATAAATATTGTATTGTATTTCATCTTTATAATACGACAATAATTTATTGTTATTGTAATACAAAAAATTATTGTAATGTCAAAATAAATAAGCTTTATAAACAATCCAGTCTCCGAGTCGTGTGACCTTGAAATAGGGTAGAACTATTATTGATTCTATTTCTATTTTATTTACTGAATACTACTTGTCCTAGTTGCAAACTTTAAATAGCTCTATAAAAGTGAGTTTGATCTGACCTGTTCCTCTTTTACTTCTGGAGATAGACACGTATACATTATTAATTACTCCCATTTCTTCTACTAAATTATTTGCTTTTAAACTAGGCATTGATCCTAGTTCAAAAGCAAATAACTTAGTAGAAGAAATGGAAGTAATTGATAATGTATACGTCTTTTGAACGTTTAAAAAACGTCCAAAACGTGTATAAGACGTTTAAAAGACGTCTTTTTTACGTCCGTGTCCACTGAGAATAGGGTAATTCCACATCAAATCACCCAAATTTTTCAAGATTTTGAACCATAGGTCTCATATTTTCTTTAAACTTCTTTAGCTGTTGCATTTCATATAGAAAAGTTCACATGCAAAATTTTAGCCAAAAATGTTCAGCCGTTCACAAGATATCAAGGTTTTAATATAGACCTGGTTTCCCAAAATGACCTGGTTTCTGTGTCATTTTAAAAAAACGTTTGCTCTAATAAAATGAAAAATAATGAAAATAAAAATATGAAAATTAGCATTTATAATGCTTTTCTAATGCAGAATTCAAAAAATGCACTTAGAATGCTGAAATATGAGCAGAACATGCTTTAAAATTAAAAACACACCTAATTTATATATTCAAACTTAGGGGTCATATATCTCAAAACACCCCCGTCTAGATTTTTTTTTTTTTGGTTTTAATATTTTTAGCTACTTATTATCTTACTAGGCACAAAAAACCTAACTGGAAAAACAACTAAAACATATAGAACCATAGTTTCCAAGATACACCACTTTTATGGGTGCCCATAGCAATTTTCTAACGAGGGTGAGGGGTGAGGGAACAACAAAATATTTTTAGTGATGTTCTAATTTAGTTAAATTTACCAAGAATACTTAAAAAAAAGCATATTGCAAAAGACATGGTGAAAACAACTTTTTTTTATTACAGTTAGAGGGGAGGAGAATAGTGTTTCAATAACACCTGGCATTGCCATATCTCTGTCATTTAAACCATTTAGCCAATAAAACATATCAAACTACTTTGTATGAACAGTAGTTACTTAGTAGTGATAAGTTGTAGATGAGTTAAAAAATAGAAAGTAGGATTAAATCCACTGAGACATCATTGTTAACTCTTATCAAGCTCCAATTATCCTACAGCCAAAGATTTGGAAATATCTAATACTATATCATTATTTAATATATTTAAAACTAGAGCTTTTTTTTTTACTGAAAACTAAGTAGGAAAGATCTTTTTTTTTTTGTATCCTTCGAATTGCTTTTTTCTTACTGCAAAAGCATTCAATACACTTCATTGCAAACTAATTAAAAAATTAAAAGGGTATGGCATCACTTAAAAGCTGCTAAAAATCTTCCTAAAGATAGTACATGTGTAGCAAATTATAGAATTCTGTAAAGAATTAATTTTGGTTAATAGACTTTTTATATATTTAAGGAAGTCTTAATTATATGATAACTTAATTATATGAACTTAACAACTGAAAAAACATCCGGTTTTGTTTTTATATAAAAACATTTTATAAAAAATAATTGTTATGTTAATATGATATTTTTTTTAATTTTGACAACTAAAGTTTGTAAAAGTTTATTAAAAATTAGTTTATAAAAGTTTAGTTTATAAAAGTTCAGATATAGAACAACATTTATTGGTAAGATTATATTTAAATTTTAAAAAATTAATAATTTAAATAATATAATTATTTAAAAACTTCTTTTTTTACAACATTTATTAATATTAATAATAATAATATTAAGAACAACATTTATTAAAAATTATATTTATTAGAAAACTTTTTTTACATACAATTAAGTAGAAGAATTTTATTTTTATTTTTAGGAAATACTTTCATACTAAATAATTTATCTTATTAAGATGTGTTCTATTGGGTTAATGACATCAGATGCTTGCAAAGGCCAACAAGATGTTATTGAAACTTTAAGCAATGAAGAAAAAATAATTATATCTTTACGCTGTAATATTGAATTATCAAACTTAGAAATATTATGTGAAAGACATAATACAAAATATTTGAAAATGTATCCTATATGGCAGAAAGCTTGTTGTGATCCATTCAATAGACATACAAAGAAAATCACAAGTATGTAGCTGTAAAATTTAAATATTTCATTAATTTATGTTTTTCAAAAAATAAACGAAAGTTTTGAACTAATGTGCAGACATACTTTATACAATTCAATTACTTTTAGAAAATCTTGGCGTAGTTACAATAAAAGAGTCACAAGTCATGATGAGAAATTGTTTGAATATTCCTCCTGGGAAGAAACTTTGCAAACCTTGTAAACAAAAGATTGCCAGAAAAAAAGAACTTACAGAAGAGGAGCAAAGTAAGAGTGAACAAGATGAGGATTTTCTAATATCACCATGCAAAAAAATAAGACAGGAGATCAATAAAGAACTCAAAAATTTTAGTTTATCTCCTCTAAAATCTCATTCAAAATCATTAATACATATACTGTCAGAAAGAAAGCAAAAAGTTGCATGCATCAACGAAATGGCGTATAACGCTACTAGAAAAATTGAAACTCAATTTTCCTCAAAACTATGTTATGAAACCAATGGGATGAAAAAGAAGGCTGCAAACTTTGATGAAATTATGAGCTTGGTAAAAGAAAAAATTCTATGTTCTGACAAACGAACTATTGTTCAACTTCTAACACTGGCACCCCCAAGTTGGTCAATATTAGAAGTACAAAATAACTTTTCGGTTACAGAATACCAGGTCAAGATGGCTATATCTCCATTGTATAAGGGTAAAGTCTTACATAAAGAAATAGAAGATTCAGTTAAATTGTTTTATGACTCAAGTGATTTATGTCGAACTATGCCTGGAAAAAAAGATTATGTCAGCATTCAAAAGAACGTCCACAAACAAAAAAAACTGCTTTTGTGTAATTTAAAGGAACTATATGTATTATACAAAGAAAACAATCCAGAAATACAAATAAGTTACTCAAAATTTGCTTCACTTAGACCAAAGTGGTGCATTTTGCCAGGTGCAAGTGGTACACATTCTGTTTGTGTTTGTTCTTATCACCAAAATGCCATTTTGCTAGTGGATGCCTTAAATATTGAATTAACGTATAAGGATTTACTTTTGAAAACTGTTTGCTCAGTAGAAAACAAAGAATGCATGCTTGCACAGTGTGATAATTGTCCTGGTAAAGAACTGCTCACCATGTATTTGTATGAGATTTTTGGAGAATACGAAGATGATTTTGAGATACACTACAAACAATGGCAAATTACTGATCGTGCAACACTATTGAGTTTAACAACAGATGTTCCAACGTTTATTGAACTATTGGTATCTTGTTTTGAAAAGCTACAATCTCATTCTTATATTGCCAAATCTCAATCACAATACCTTAATCAACTAAAAGAAAATATGGATCAATCAAACATTATCATTCTTGGCGACTTTGCTGAAAATTATGCTTTTGTAGTCCAAGATGAAATACAGAGCTATCACTGGAACACCCAACAATGTTCTTTACATCCATTAGTGATATACTATAAAGAAGAAAATGGTGTAGTGAAACATATTTCTTACTGTTTTATATCAGACGACATTATACACGATGTAACTTATGTATACAAGATATTTCAACTAATTATACCAATATTAAAAACAAAATTTCTTGATTTATCCAAATTGCATTTATTCACTGATGGTTGTGCAGGACAGTACAAAAATTGTAAAAGCTTTTACAATCTATGCCAACTAGAGACAGAATTTTCCCTCAAAATTGAATGGAACTTTTTTGCCACATCCCACGGAAAGTCACCATGCGATGGAATTGGTGGTACTGTAAAAAGGTTAACAGCACAAGAAAGTTTAAAACGACCATACAGAAACCAAATTCTCACATCAGAGGCTATGTATGAATTTTGTGTTGAGAAAATTAAGGCTGTTAACTTCATTTACATAAAGGGATTGGACTTACAATTGCAACGTGAAAAGCAAAAAGAAAGGTACACTGATGTAACAACTCTACCAGGTACTCGTAGCTTTCATCAATTTATACATCTTGGAGATAATAGGGTTGGGGCGAAGAGGTGTAGTACAGACACTAAATATACAATAATTCACAATCTTAAAAAGAAACATATATTTGAACCTGATACTGTCACTTTAGGAGGTTATGTTGCGGTAGTTTATGATGATAAGTGGTGGATCGGCATTGTAACTGAAATCAACCTAGAAGAAGTTGATGCTGAAGTTAAGTTTCTCCACCCAAGAGGTCCATCAATCTATTTTAACTGGCCTGAAAGAGACGACCACTGTTTTATTCCTAACATCAATATATTGAAAAAACTATCTGTTCCACAAGCTTGCTCTAGTTCTGGTAGAAACTATGTGTTTGAAAATGTTGAAATAGAAGAAGTGCAAGTAAAATGGCAACAATATTGTGAACTATTACAAATACAGTCAAAATAACTTGCACATTCGATACCTTTAAAAATCTTGTATATTTAAGTAACTTTGTAAATTAGGAATAATTTATTTTAATTGAATTTATAAATATTTTTTAGGAATTTCTTAAAAAAGTTATACATCTTTAAAATTAAAGTTCTATATGTTTCAGTTTTTTTTCCAGTTAGATTTTTTGTGCCTAGTAAGATTATAACTAGCTTAAAATATTGAAAGCAAAAAAAAAAAAAAATTTGACGGGGGTGTTTTGAGATATTGGGCCCTAAAGTTAGATTATATAAACTAGTTGATTTATTAATTTTTAAGGATGTTCCTCTAACATTTCAGCATTTTAAGTACATTTATTGAATTCAGCATTAAAAAACCATTATAAATGTATATTTTTATATTTTTGCCATTTTTATTTCTTATTTTATTGAGGAAAACAACTTTTCAGAATGTTATGAAAACCGGGTCATTTTGAGAAACCAGGTCCAAATTAAATTTGCTGTATCTTGTCAACCGCTTGACATTTTTAGCTGAAATTTTGCATGCAATATTTTTTTATAAATAGGAATCATGTGTCAAAATTTAAAACAAAAAGAAGACACATGGTTCAATGGAGTGGGTGATTTGATGTGGAATTACCCAATATTGTATATATATATATATATATATATATATATATATATATATATATATATATATATATATATATATATATATATATATATATATATATATATATATATATATATATATATATATATATATATATATATATATATATATATATTTATGCGTACGTATTAGTGCTTGCATATATCTTCGCGAGAGTGCTCGATGAATTAAAGTAAATTAAAATGATTTAAATTAAAACAGACATACTATATATAGTATATTATTTATAAATAAAACTGCATTTTTTCACAACTATAAGTTTCATGCTAAATGCAATCACCTGATGATTGCATTTAGCATGAAACTTATAGTTGTGAAAAATATGCAGTTTTATTTATAAAAAATATATGTATATATATTATTTATACTACTATACTATACTACTACTATATATATTTATACTATACTACTACTACTACTACTACTACTACTACTACTACTACTACTACTACTACTACTACTACTACTACTACTACTACTACTACTACTACTACTACTACTACTACTACTACTACTACTACTACTACTACTACTACTACTACTACTACTACTACTACTACTACTACTACTACTACTACTACTACTACTACTACTACTACTACTACTACTGTTGCTATCATTTGTGTCAATAATTTTATTTGAATTTTATAAGGCATTTGCTTAAGATTAGTGTTAAACTATTTGTCTTGATGGTCAATTTATGTCAGAATTTATTGACTGAATAGTTAATTTTCTGGCAATACTGCAAGAGTTTTCAAACCATCATTTATACAAAACTGACATTACACGGGTACTCTAAAGTAAAACATTAGGACAGCTAACTCTTAAATTTAAGTTTTCTCCACGGTTGCTAGTATATTCCGGCAAAAAATGTTTCGCCGGGACAATTCACTATACGGATATTTTTTCACAGTTAGGCTCGGTTCGGTTTCGTTCTCTTGTTACAAGTAACAACAAATATTTACGAAAATAAGTAAAAAAAAAGGCCAAGGTCAAATGTCTAACGGTGGCGGATCAGCGACTTCGAATCCAGCATCTGACAATGCGCTGGATGAAAAGTATTTAACAATTAAACGTAAGAAAATTTTAAATCTAGTAACTAAATCTAAATAAAAAAAAAAAATCCATTGTAAGGTTATCCTTAAAAATTATGTTTGTTAGATAAAAATCTAATAACAGCCGATATTAGGTTATGCAGCTTACCACATTTGAATAAAAATAAAAATCATAAATTTAGTTCAGATTTTAGTTTCTCTAAAACTTTGGAAAATAAAAAAATAATGATCAGCAAATAACTTTATGTATACAAAGATTGGGATGCTTTAACCTCCCTTTTCTACTTTTTTTTAAATGTCTTCTATATTCCTTATATGTCCCAATAATTCTCGCTACACCTTAATTTTTTTTTAAATGCCGAGATTTTCAAAAATTTTTTTCAGAAAAGCAGAAGTAATTGTTTGTCAAAATTCTTTAAGCAAATCCAAAATACATAAGCACATGTATTACAAATAATTTCAAATAAGAAAAAGAGATAATGTTTGTTTCTGTATTAATGAATATTTTTAATAGATAAAAATGTTATTTCTTAATAATGAATTTCTGTAGAATGTTATTAACATGTTGCAGAAATTCTGTAATTATTATACATTAGAAAATATATTTTAGTACAAAAAGATGTGCCAAAAAAAAATCTCCCAAGTGGTTGGATAGGCATATGGCATCAAAGTGGTGGTATTATATATCTACACAAACCAACAAAAGTTATAACATGGTCGAGGCCGTACCAACTCTCTAAAAGCACTAGCGCAAGGGTAATATTTTATTAAATATTAAAAATATATAAATACGATTAAGCTTTATCTGTGTATAAAATACATAAATGGTTGAGCTTTAAAGCCTTTTGAATGGTTCACAAATTTTAAAAAGATAAAAATCTAAACTATACAGACAAGTTTCTTTGTTTTCTAAAAAGTAAATTGTAGTAGTAGTAATTGGAGTAGGAGTAACAGTAGTAGTAATTATTATTATTATTATTATTATTATTATTATTATTATTATTATTAGTAGTAGTAGTAGTAGTAGTAGTAGTAGTAGTAGTAGTATTTGTAGTAGTAGTTGTAGTAGTAGTAGTAGTAGTAGTAGTAGTAGTAGTAGTAGTAGTAGTAGTAGTAGTAGTAGTAGTAGTAGTAGTAGTAGTAGTAATAGTAGTAGTATGTAGAGCTCGTGCCATGCGCACCAATTATCTATACCACACTAGATATGTATATATAATATATTCATGCATACAAGTGTCAAAATAGGTGCTGGATTTTAGTATCCCTGGATCATTCTCTAGACACACTAGAGGGAGACAACTAACCTTTGTTCATTTTGTTGGAAAAACAGTGGTTAAAAATAATATTCGTTTGTAATAGAAATAAGTACTTTTTGTACTTATGTCATTAAGAAAGTTCGTAGAACTCCCCTATTATAAAAAAAAAATTAAAGTTTTTTTAAATTTTATTTTATTAAATGTTCAAAATAATGTCCATTATTATCTATACAAAGTTGCATCCTTTCAAGCCATTTGTGATCTTCTTTGAGTATACTTTCAAGTAGCTTTGTTATGCGGGTTTTTTGGCTTTCGACGTCAGTATCTTCATCAAGATTTTTTTTATCAAGTTGAATAGCCAATAATCGGGTGGAGCTAAGTCTAGTGAGTATGGTGGGTGGCGAATTATTGTAATTCCAGCTTGGTTGAGACAATTTGTGAAGGTTTGAGTTACATGGGATCGAGCGTTATCATGGAGAAATTTCAAGTTGTGAGTGCCTGTTTTAGGTCTTTGCTTATTTATTTTACATTTAAGAGATTAAAACAATTTTTTATATAATATTCGTTAGTAATGGTGTCTCCATTTTTTAACCTAACCCAAATGAACAACACCTGTTGTTTTGAAGAAGATGTAGAACATGCTTTTTGGCTGAAACCTATCGCATCTTACTATACTTCTTGGATTTTCACCTTCACTGACCCAACTAGCATTAGTTGACTTGTGTCCAACTTGTCTCAAATAAAACCATGACTCATCCCCTTAACAATATCACATAGCCTCCATGGGCCATTTGTGAAAAGAGCTATATTTTCCTAACATGCCTCAACTCTATTCTTTCGATTTTGATCGGTTAACTCATGGGGTATCCAACGTGATGTTTAGTTTTCATTTTTTAAGTGCATTGTGAATGATTTCGTTGATTATAAAATGATTAATCGATGTCAGGGCTTAAATTATATCATGTGTTGCATGCGGATTTTCTTCAATAATGGCTCGCACACGTTAAATATTCTCAGCTGTATATGTGGTTTGAGGGTGCCCTGAGCGAGGATCATCTTCAAGACTCTCTCTACCATCTTTAAATAAAGTAGCCCACTTAGCAACTGTAAGATATTTCGGAGCTTAGTCACCATGAACTAAAACCAATTCATCGGTTATGGTTTGTGCTGAAACTCCAAATAGAGCACAGGTATCAATATATGCTTGATATTCAACTTTTTCCATTTTTTAATTTTTTCCTTCAAACGTATATAATAAAATTTAAATAACTTTATTAACAAACATTCAAAATATTTTACATGATGTATGGCAGTGAAACATGGGCAGTAATGCTTGAAGATGAGAGTTAGCAGTTTTGGAAAAAAAGGTAAAGATAGAGAAAGCATGGAGAGAGTTATCTGTAATATATATATATATATATATATATATATATATATATATATATATATATATATATATATATATATATATATATATATATATATATATATATATATATATATATATATATATATATATATATATATAAACCAGCAGGAAATTGAATATTTTCAAATGAATTTTTTGTTTAATATTTTATTGCCAAACTATTATAAATCTAGTTTCTTTAAAAACCACCATGTTTATGAGTTTAGAGTTAAAGTAATCTAAATAATAATTATTAAAACAAATTTTGTTCCTTGTTCAAGAAAAATTTTCTCTTATCAAAATTTGTGACAATTTATTAATATTCGATCTTTGGTAGCCTTTGTTAATAGATCACATGGGCACTCATTTCTTTATCTTTTGCCATCTTGTTATTGATATTCCTCAGCAATTTCTTTTTAAATTCAATATTTAATTTGATAATTTCAGTTTCTCTAACTTTTTAATAAACAATTTGTAATTGCAATCTTTCAAGGGATCCTAACATTTTTTCTGTCTAGTGAAGTTTTTCATTGTAGGTAATTTTTTTTAGGTATTTCATTTTTTTAATAGAAAACATTTATAAACATATATTAAAAGTTTTATTGAATTATGAGAAAGTAGCATGTAAATTTGTATTTTTTTTGGTTGAATTAGTATGGAATGTTTTTATAAAAATATGTTATCACATTTTTTTTATTTGATTTAGATTCAATATTTACTGAGTATGGCTGAACTGTCATTGTGCACATTTGGACTGTTGCTTTAAGATAAATGCCACAAGACAGTTCATACACGCATTGTTGGCTTGCATAACCTGTCAGAGTTATCCGATGCTAACTTTTGAATTGTTGATGTTAAGAACCAAGCCTGTTGATCAATTACAAAGAGAGAGAGCTGAAATATATGCTTCCACCACAAACAGATTCTACTTGAAAAATTTGATAAATTGCAGCCGAGTTGTTGTGATCCATTCAATAAACATCAATGCAAAGTCACAAAGTCACTGAGGGCAGTCAGTATTGACAAAGTCAAGGAGCTAACACTAACAACTGGAGACACATCAAACCTGGTGAGAAGCTATGCCCAAGCTGTTGAAAGTATGATACATCCCAGGAACCTGAACAGAGTTATGGACATTCAGCTAGTGATACCGATATAGAAGACCTTGACTTGCATCTTTTTAAACTAAATGACATTATAACAAGCATTGGCTGCACACCAGTTAAGCTTCATGCAATGCCTGTTCGAAATAGAATTTCATATGCCAAACATAAAATTGCAACTGCAACAACAGAGATCCAGAAGAAAGTAAGCAAAGTCATCCAAGTACCTCGTAATCTAGTTGTGAATGAAGGTGATGCTACAGAATGTGATGGTTAAAATGACTTAACAAAACTAGTGACTGAATTAAAGATTAAGTGCAGTACAGCTTCCAGGCAAGAAAAAATTAAGATAGTAACACTAGCACCATCTAGCTGGAGCCAACAAAAAGTCTCACAGGAATTTGGAGTAACCAAGCACGTCGTTAAGCTAGTGAGAAAACTGAAAAAGTCATGTGGAATTTTGGCATATCCCCAGAAAAAACATGGCAAAGTTCTCCCAGATGATGTGATTGAAAGTGTACGTAAATTTTTTGAAGATAATGAAATTTCCCGTATGTGTCAAGGTCAAAAGGAATTCTTGTCAATCAGAATTGATGGTGAACGTGTTTATAAACAAAAGCGTCTTCTACTTCTGAATCTCAAGGAGATGCATGTAGACTTCAAAAAATGAACTGCAATGAAAATTAGGCCTAGCAAGTTTTGTTCGCTTTGACCACCATGGTGCATTACTGTTGACTCGAGTGGTGCCCATGCAATCTGTGTCTGTGAGACTCACCAAAATTTGAAACTTGCAGTTGCAGCACTACCTGTTAGAACTGATTATAAGGGCTTGCTTTTGAAGGTCGTTTGTTCATCTGAGAATTGAAAATGCATGTTGCATCATTGTTCTATTTGTTCTGGTATTGATGAGCTGAAATCATTTCTTGAACAGCTATTTGATGAAGCTGATATGGATTTAGATGACATAATCAATTACAAACAATGGACCCATGATGGTCAGTCAAAGCTGCAATCTGTATGTGAGACTGTTGCTGACTTCATTACTTCACTTTGTACTTCCGCTGATAAAACATCATTTCACAGCCAAGGCACAATCATCCTACTTAAGTCATCTGAAGGAGTGTTTGCCTGTTGGAACAGCAGTTGTGTTGCTGGATTTTGCAGAAAATTATTCATTTATCTGTCAGGATGCAGTGCAAGGCTTCTACTGGGAAACATCACAGGCCAAATTGCATTCATTTGTTGTGTATTATTGTGAGCTACCCAGCAATGACCTATGCTGCTTGTCTCTTTGCATTATAAGTGATGACTGTGAACATGTAGCAGGTACAGTCCATGCCTTCATTGAAATAGTGCTGACATTTCTCAGGAGCAAAATGCCTGATTTGCAGAAAATAGTTTACTTCAGTGATGGAGCAGCAGCACAATATAAAAACTGCAAAAACTTGAAGAATCTGTGCATGCATAAAACAGATTTTGGTATTGAAGCTGAGTGGAATTTTTTTGCTACCAGTCATGGAAAAAGTCCTTGTGATGGTATTGGTGGTACAGTAAAGAGGCTAATGGCAAGAGCATGTTTGCAGGCAACTCTGCAACATCAAATACTAATGCCACATCAGATGTACGATTGGGCAACATCAAATACTAATGCCACATCAGATGTACGATTTGCTTCAGTTCAAACTGTTCCTGGCACACAGTCACACCACTGGTTTGTGGTAGTAAGTGAAAACAAACTGAAGATATTCAGGTTGTTGTGTGATGACTTGGGTACAATCGTCAATGTGTCACCAGAACCTGACCTGGTATTGAACCGGTACCAAGTATAACAGATCTGCATACAGGACAGTTTGTGGCTGTTGTTTATTACACTGATTGGTTTATTGGTTGCATAACAGAACATTCTGATGATCATCAAGATATCTTGGTAAAGTTCATGAACAGAACACCTACAAACAGATTAACTTGGCCACATCGTGATGATATCTGCTGGATACTATTCACTGCAATCTTCCACCACCAATGTTGTCTGGCAGTTCAGCAAGACAGTATTTCTATGATGATGAGCATTTTGACAATTGCAAGAAACTGTTTGATAGTAGAACTGTGTGTAAATAGATAAGATACCAACAGTTAAATGCATTGGCACCATACGCTGATATTGCTTTACATGGTTGCTTATATTGTTGATAAAAATAGTCTATAATTTGGTTTTGTAACTAACTATTTTTCATAAAATTTAATTGACAGTTGATTGCTTTGATGATTTACCACAATACACTTTAATGTACAAAAAATATTTTAACGAAATATGGTTTTAATTAGCAATTGATTTAGTAGGAAAGGCTTAAGACACCAACATGAAATTTTCACCATAGCTAGTACTTACTAAGGTTAAAAAGTGTGCAAAACATTAAATGTGTGAATTACTGTCAACATGGTCATCTGGGGGTCGCAATGCGCACAAAAATTGATGACCGTGATGCATAACAGTGCCTACAATGAGTACACTATTATTGATTAACATGAATTTACTATGAAAATAATAAACACATTTATGGTACATATTAATGGTATAACAAACATCATTCCATATTATATATAGGTTAAGAACCTATATATAATATTCCATATTATATATAGGTTCTTGGCTATACCGGGTCAAATGTTAGTGAAAACTGTCTAAAGTGCAATGTTTGGACATTTTTAGGGAATATTGTATGCAAGCTACATTTGATATAAAAAAAAAACATTCAACTCAGCATGAAAAAATGAGTAAATGCTGAAAATTTCAGCCTGATACCTGTTTTAGTTTTTGAAATATTCACATTCAAATATCGCGAAAATGTCGCAATATTTGAATGTGAATATTTCATAAACTCGCAACAACCATTAAAACTTTAAAAAATCATATCTCAGTAAGTTTTTGAGGAAATGGCCTAAAACTTTCAGCAATTGCTTAACTTTGTATGTACTACAAGCCCTGAAATTTCAGGAAGATCTGAAATGGTGTGGTGAACAATTGTCAAAATGCTGGTTGAGTTGATATGGAATGACTCAGTAATGATAATACATCATGTTAAATATTGTAAATAACACAGGTCAACAAAAGAAATCTTTCTGGTGCTGAGCAAACATTTTGTTTTTTGTATAGCATTTCTCATTTTGATTTCAAATATATATATATTTTTTGACGATATTAGGGTAAAATCTCTAGTATCATCAAAAAAAATTGTTCAAAACTCATCAGAAAAACACTTTTCTGATGTGTATTCACTTTTCTGTTGTTTCTGATGAGTCTTTATTAATGAAACACAGTGTTAAATGAAAAAAAATTTTTGCTAAGTGATTTTCTACTACTTTATATATATATATATATATATATATATATATATATATATATATATATATATATATATATATATATATATATATATATATATATATATATATATATATATATATATATATATATTTGAGCTGGAACCATATATTTTTCTTCTGGCTCCACACTTTAAAACAAGAATTGTAATTTAAATAACCATTAACAATGCTATAGATAATGTATGTATATTATGTATTGTTTTAAGGTTATAGAAAATATATTTTTAACTACTTTTTAAATTTAATTTTAATTGCTATTGAATTTCCAATTTAATACCAATGAAAAATTGTTTCAAAACCTTTTTTATAGAAACATGATGTTCCTTTGACTGCCATTCCATGTCTACATCAAAAAGCAGGATTATATTCAAAAACTTTTACTGAATCGAAGGAAGAAAGTCAAAGCAGTGAAAGTTCTGAACATAACTCAACTATAGAAGCTGATAAAAAGCTGTTAACGCATTGTAAATTTGAACAGGTAGCAAATGAGGAAGTTAATCATTTAGGACATAAAAGAAAATTGGAGACAGACGAAAGTTGTAAAGAGAAAGCAGCTAAGCTTCAATGTTTTGAAGATGAAATAGATTTATTACTAAATAGTAAACCCAATAAACTTTTTCCATCAAATAATTTTGAAACTCAGTTGCCATCATTCAGTTTAAAAAACAATAATATTGCCAATAATTCAACTACTGATACAGAAAGTAAATTAGATTCTAACAAGTTTTGTAAAGCTCAAAAATTGAACACCATCAACACAAGAATTGCTCAGTCAAATTGTTTGGAAAATAGTTTTACATCTTTAGACTGTGCTTTAAATTCAAACTTAAAAGTTAATAATTTTAGTTTGGTTAATTTGCACAATTATACAGAATCTTCACTAGCATTACCAAAAAGCGATCCCTGCTCAATTATTTTAGAAAAGGCCTCTAACAATAAATTTGTTGATTCACAGATGTTACATGATTATCTTAGCGGAATATTTTCTTTTGAAGAATCAGATAAAGACTATATTTTTGGTTTGCCTATCTATACTGATGCTGATTTTGATGAGCAAGCTGCTTTAACTACAGATAATCAAAGGAAGAAAAAGCAAGCTGTTCCTGTTATAAAAAATCCGCTCCAAAAGTTGTACGAGTATTGTCAGTTGCATTTTAAAAAAACAATTGCATTTAATAAGTTAGACGAATGTTTTTCAGGGTTATTTTACGTAGAAGTTCTTGTTGGATTTTTGCGGTACGGAGTTGGACAGGGTGATAATAAAAAAAATGCAAAATATGCAGCTGCTCAAGCTACATTGGAGATTATGGACCCAAAATCTTATCCTATAGAAGCCCAAGAAAAGTATTTTGAGGTAAGAAATAATAATATATTTTGTTTTAAGTTTTTTAATATTTTTTGTCCTAAAAACATATTACTTAATACCTATATTTATCAATGGATAGTTAAAATATAAAATTAGTAAATAATTATAAACTGGCTTAAAGTCACCACCATTCTATGGGTAAGTTTGACCAACCATTAAAATAAAAGGGTCTCATCTATACTATTTTTCTTTGTAATTCTTATGGTTTATTTCTGACATATCAAATTCAAGTAATATCAGCATCAATCATTCATAGTTAAATTTTGAAAGAAAAATGGTTTAAAAATTGGCCAGACACCTCATTTTACAGTAAATAAAAAAAAAAAGTAAGAAAAGTAATTAAATAAATTTTCAAGAATAGTTTTAAGAAAGGCTTTGAGATAATAAAATTTTAATGAGATAATAAAATTATATCATTTTAGCAAATTTTATCAGAGCATAGATAAGTAAACTTGGACAATTTTTGGGTTAAAGATGAATTACGAATATTGTCATTAAGTATTTTTCTTGAAATTCTGAAGGAAAAAAAATATACGTAAAATTTCATTAAATATTTTTTTGAAGTTCTGAAGGTGATTTTTTTAAATGATACTGAGGTTATTGATAGAGAATTAAATTCTAAACATTTTTGAGCCTTTTTAATGAATAATTCTTTTTTATCTTGTTTTCATACAATTTTCTTAGTAAAGGTCTATATGTTTATAATCCAAACAGGACCTTTAACATATAGACTCCTATAGTTTGTAATAGCCCAAAAATAATCTGAACAAAAAGTTCAGATTATTTTTAGGCTGTTTCTTTATGTTTTTTATTCATTTACAATCTGATAAATTTGTTAATTTAATGTTAATAGTATTTTAGTTTAATGTTAATGTCTGATAATGCTATAAATTTATAAAAATTTTGAAATCACGTCCACCTTAATGTAATACTTACAAATGATGACAGATTATTTTTAGTTTTTCTTATTACATTGCAGTAAAATATTAAATTTTAAACATGCTGTTTAATGCTATGTAATTATATTACTTAAATAAAATGAAAAAAATAGTTTTTTTTTTTTTTTTTTTTAATATATCACTGAAATAATAAGAAAAAAAAAAAATTTTTGTAAGATTTTTATAGTACACTCTAAAGTATAATATATATAAAAACAACGTTGATTTCCTTATATATTCTGATTCTTTTTTATTTTCATGTAAACAATGTCAGAGCTGCCACTCAACCTGGAAAACCTGGAATACCTGGAAATAGTATGAATCCCAGGGAAAACCTGGAAAACTCAGGGATTTTTTCAAATTTTTATAAAATTCAGAGAAAACTCAGGGAAAATTTTTTTTTTTTTTTAAATTTTGTACAATTATTTTTTTTTTTCAAAAATATTATGTTAATTCATATAGTTATAAGTTTGCAAGGTGTATGTGTTGTTGTAAAAGTTTTAGTTTGTCAAAGATTGTGTTTAAGTAAGGAAAATAAAAATCTCATTGATGAACCCCAAAGAATATAGAAAAGTCAGGGAAAACTCCGGGAATTTAAAAAAATAAACTCAGGGAAGAAAGTACTTTACTCAGGAAATACACAGGGAAAACTCAGGGAAAAACTTTTAAAATTATAGTGGCAACCCTGAATGTGAACTTTTTTTCTAGTTCTATCAAGGCCATTTATTGCTGCAATGTTTTTATTCTTTGATCAAAATGACATTTTACAAATTCTTAAATTTTTTAACTTATAAATAATTTCGGTAAACAATGGAATTTATTAGAGATGTTTAGCGAATTCATTATTTTTCAATAAGAAAATATTGATAATCATTTAATAACATTATATATAACAAAACTAATTTATAGCTAAGTAACTAAACAAATTCATAAGTAATTTATGATGAATAAAATCAAAAATCTATAATTTGATAAAAATAAGAATTTCTAGATTTCTTATTTAAATTCTACAATGACATCATATACTAAAACTCTTTGGAATAAAATCTGCTTGAATAAGTTATTGAATAAAATTAAGTCTGTAGATTGCGACCTATATTTTAAAGACTTAAAAATCACACTAAAATGGAGAAAGCAAGTTTTGACTAAAACTACAAAGTTAGTTTTTTTTGGTATAGGTTTATTATTTTGTTTTATCAAATTTTGCCAAAATGTTATTGTTATCATTCTCTTTAACATGAACACATTATGTCTCAGCACTTTGGTTTCCCTTTAAGGAGAGTTTTACATAAACAAATATAGATTAACTAAACAAACTGTTTATTATTAAAAGATAGTAATATTTTTTATAATTTAATTATCTCAAAGCTTTCTTAAAATTATTCTAAAAATTTATCTATTTAGTTAGTTACTTTTATTTTTCACTTAAAATGAGGTGTCATTGTCCAATTTTTCTTTCAAAATTTAATGAGTGATTGATATGTTAATATTAATTGTATTAGATAGTTATATATTATTCATGATATTAATTGCATGATGTCAAAGAGATAAATCATATAAATTAGAAAGTGAGTTAATAATTTGCTAATAGAACTGAAAGTTGGTACAGACATTGAGGACATTAATACAAATAAAATATTAAAAGTCCCCTCTGACATCCCACAAAAAGTTATTCAAGATCAAAGGTAAAAAAAATAGGTTTTTTTTTAATTTTCTGGTAAAAATATTATTGTAAAAATATATTTAAAAAAAGGTGTACATCATGAAATTATCTACAAAAAATGTCATTGTAAGTGTCTATAGTAGTATTTGATGGTCACTTGCGATGGTTACTTTGATGGTTATACTTCTAAAATAAATATGTGGTTCAAAAACACTGCACAACAGTGTTATTGAACCACAAAAATTTATGCATCTTCTGATGTCATTTTTAATCAGCATATGATTAAAAATAATTACTTGCCAATACTCATAACAAAAATACTCATAACAAATCTTCATTTCCATGCTATACGAACTATTTACATCTGCAAATTTTATAGTGAAGCAAGCTGATAATAACGATGATGTCCTCCTAATTGAAACAGCCATAGAACAATCTAATGCAATGAGTACAACTACCATTGTCAGTGAAGATGTTGACTTAATAAAACTACTTCCTGCATGAACTACAATTGATAAGATTACTTACTTTTTGAAACTTAGGAAAGCTCAACAACCAACAGAAATATTAATTGAAAAGTTTATATGTTTGTTCAAAATGTCAAAATTTTATATTTTATTTTTATGTGCGATAACATATTATGATACTACATTAGCATTTTTCACAAAGGGTTAAACAACATATTTAAATTATATTAAAAACATGATTTAATTAATTGTGCCAAAGTATATTAAAAGATCTACTTTTCTCCACAAGACATTATCACAATCAAGACTCATATTCTCATTGCTCTCAGAGCTTATAATTTTTTTTTGAGTTTTTTGAGTCTTCCTCCAACACTTGTATCTGCTAGTTGACACTCTTATCAATTTTTCTACATAGATTCACAAAATTCACCTTTTTTGAGATCTTCTTTTAAGATAAAACTTACTGGATACCTGAAGAATAAGAAAAGCCTTTTTTTTACTTTTGACCTTGAATAATTTTTTTTTCAGGTGTAGGATATGTGGAGACTTTTAATATTTTATTTTTAATGTCCCCAAATGTCTGTGCCAACTTTCAGCGCTTTGCTAATTATTGTAAATTGAAATGTCTATTATGAACAGACTGATACATCAGTCATCAAACAATCAATGCTAGAGTTAGTAAATAGATTATAATTATTTGCAGTTTATGTGGATGACTTTTTTATAGCAGTTATTTTTTTCTTTGTCATATTTATGTATGGTTATATATTAGCAACATCAATTGGTGATACACCGATTGATGTTGCACATTTTTCTGGCACAACAAATACTTTATGTCACTTTTTATGTTAGGGTATATGATCATTGCCTTTCGCTTCAACTAAATGTTGCATGAAATACTCACTAACAAGCGAACCAATTTTCACCACAAAATCTTTATTTGCAAATAAAATTCTTTTTTTTAAAATTCAGTTTTTGATTCAGTAGGTATAAACCAGTTATTTTGAAGTCTGCCTTCATACTTTTACAACTCTTAACTTTATTCATAAAATGTTTAAGCAACACTGAAAGCTGGTCTTTTGGAAGCAAAGAAGCCCTATGTCTTTTCACACTTTTATTCCAAGTTGGTAATATTTCTCTAATAAGCTTTCATAGTTCAAAAATTTAAAATGTGTGAATTCAGAGGAAGTGCAATAAATTTGATGTTATTTTTGCCAAACAAAGTCATTACAAATGCATTTTTATGTGATGGCAAACTTTCTCTAGTTAGAATATGTCCCAGGAGTTTTTTTTAGTTTAGGCATCAATAAAGATTCAAACCAATATGTAAAACAGCTAGAGTTAAATCATCCACTCTTTGAGCAGTTATAACATGCTCCATTTGGTCCTTTTTTCCCCCAAGCTATCCACATTGTTTCTCTTCCTTTTAATGTACTTGAAAATTTAACATTTAATTATTATTTAAAAAATGTTTCTATATAAGAATGATTTTACCTATTCAACATCAGGCATATTTACTGAAAATTTCCTAGTAAACAATCCTTTACAGACTTGAAATACTGTGAAATCATAACAGTAAACTGATGTTTGTTATAATATAGTTTGCAAAAATTTATTTAATTGAGGTAAGTATTGCGTAGCCACCTGGTTTTATAAATATAATTCATCCAGTTAATTCTTTAATGTTGAAAGAAGAAATTTAATGGTTAAAGAAGCATTTGTTTGTGTTAGTTTCCGACTTATTATTTCATAAAATATTTGGTTGATGTTACTTGGGTATATGATTTATAGCCATTACTTCCAACATATTTATCTGTTTTGGGCATAATATATGATTTTTAAATTAGTATACTATCCTAAAAACAGAAATAAAAAATCAATAATATTATTGATTTTTAATTTCTGTTTTTACGATAGTATAATATTAAATTTTATAGAAATAGTTGTCCATAGATATAAGTTCTATAGAATATAGCATCAGAAATCAATTAATTACATTTTTTGTGTAGGTCAAAGTCACTCCAAGTTGTGTCCAAATCATTCCTTAGTTATTATTTGAAGTTATTTTTAATTAGAAGTATTATAAATTTGACAACTGTTATACAATACTCATTCTATATAAACTTACTATAATTTATAAAACCACAACCCAGGTACTCAGGTATTAACAGCAGTTGCAATTGAATAATAATTTTGGAGCATATAGATTTTGTAGTTTATATCATGGGTGGAACCTCTGGTTTTTTGCTGGTCACCCTGCGGGTGACTGAAATATAATATATGTCTTACTTGATAATCAGTAGTAGAACACTATATTATTACAAATGATCATCTAGAACCATGTGCATGATATTAGCTTACCTTTTATAATTTAGATTTTTTGGAATTGTTTGAATTATGTATTAAATTTTTGTTCTTGATTCGGTGTATAAATTCATTGAAAATGCTTTTAAAAAGTACTTTTTTTAATGGTTAATTTTAATTTTGCTATATTGATTTAAAAATCAATATAAAGAAATTAAGTTTTTTACGTAAGATTGTATTATGTATTACGTAAGATTGTATTATTACGTAAGATAGTATTGCTGTAGTATTACAATAACATTTTTTTCATAACTTTTTTTGTTGCAGTTTTTTTATTGTAACTTTCAGGGGTGCAGAGTCCCAAAAAAGGCTCCACACGATTTGAAAGTCATGAAAAGATTACTTCTTCATAGTTTTTGGTATCCAGGAGCTCTAAATATATAAAAAAGTTTATGGACTACTAATAGCAAAAGTTTATGGACTACTAATAATGAATCTGGGACTCCAGGACTATGGGCTTTAAAATGATAAGTTGCAAGTCATTAAATGTCATGAATTTTTTTCTTACAGCAGATCATAAGTCAACAAACATGTTTAGAGCTTCTGGACACTACAGACCTAGAAAAAATATAGATATAAAGCTGGATTCCTTTTTGGAATCCACATCCCTGGTAACTTTATTTTATATTTTACAATTTTAGTTTTTTTGTTGCAGATTTTAATAATTAAGTTGTTTTAAGTTTAGTTTTTAATCTTGTTTATTTTTTTCAGATATTTGATAAACTAAGTGTTGAGGATCCAACCATTTTTGAGAAAACCAAAAGTCTGATGTCTTCTTATTCTTTAATCTATCCTTATGAAATGATGGTGAGCATTTTGACGAGGTAATTTCAATTCTTTTATGTTACATAAATTACTTAGTAAAAATTATATTTGTGAAATTGTACCTGATGACATCAGGTACATTTTCACAAATATAATTTGTATTAAGTAATTTTTGTAACATAAATTTTTCTCTTTCTTTCCTTTTTTTTTGTTATTTACCGCCTTAAGGCCGAGAAAGCCACTGCAGATGAGGAGGCTACTTAATAGTGGTTATACCCTCTCTTAACTCTATAACTCGGAAACACAAACCTTGATAAAACAAGGCAGCTGTGGGGAGAAACAAGTTGAGCGCTGTACTACCAGGGACGTGGTGGGGATCAAACTCGGAACCTCTCGCTTATGAAGCAAGCGCTTTACCACTACACCACTACCGCATATATATATCATATTGAAATCATGATATCAATGAATATCAACTGAAGTTTAGGATTTATAACAGTAATAAAATGTTGTTTTCATTATTTTCAGTTAAGCCATGTATATAAGAAATCTACAGATAAAGCAGCTACAAAAAAAATGTTTTGGTTGTTCTGTCTTTAAGAACCAAATGGAATTTGAGAAGTCTTAATTATAAGTTCATTTATGTTATCACTAGCTTTGTGAGGCAATAATTTAATATTAGAGAAGAAAAGACAAGTATTACATCAATTTTGTCTATTGTAATGCTTAGCTATTTATTACAAGGCTGAAAACAAGCGAATAAAAAATATCAAAGAAATGATTTTTAGTTTAAATTCTATGATTTGAGCTGTTGTGTTGCCATAGTGTTGTAGTATATGTGTGTATATATATATATATATATATATATATATATATATATATATATATATATATATATATATACATATATATAAATATATATGTATATATATATGTATATATATATATATATATATATATATATATATATATATATATATATATGTATATATATGTATATATATATATATATATATATATATATATATATATATATATATATATATATATATATATATATATATATGTATATATGTATATAAATTTATATATATTTATATAAATTTATATATATATATATTTATATGTATATATATATACATATATATAAATATATATATATATATATATATATATATATATATATATATATATATATATATATATATATATATATATATATATATATATATATATATATATATATATATATATATATATATATATATATATATATATATATATATATATATACAACTCAAAGAGGTAGGCAAATTATTGCCGACCTAATTTTTCCATATTCCGAGAGTTGTATATATGTATATATAAGTTTAAATATATATAAATATATATATATATATATATATATATATATATATATATATATATATATTATATATATATAAATGTATATATATATATATATAAATTTATATATATATATATATAAATATATATATATATATATATATATATAAATATATATATATATATATATATATGTATATATAAATATATATATATATATATATATATATATATATATATATATATATATATATATATATATATATATACACAACCCAAAGAGGCAGGCAAATTATTGCTGACCTCATTTTTCCTAATTCTGAGAGTTGTATATATATATATATATATATATATATATATATATATATATATATATATATATATATATATATATATGTATGTATATATATATATATATATATATATATATATATATATATATATATATATATATACATGGACTACTAAAATAGCGGGACGCAAGACTTTAATTTCATGCAATTTTGATGAGAGGGCTGAAAAATTTAAAAAGCGTAAAGTTTTTTTTGTTGAGACTGTTTAATATGATTTTGAGTGTTTTGAGATTAATAAGGCATTTTCTAAATTTGTTTTTAAATTTGTTAACTTGTTAATTTAAAGATGCTAACAGCAATTAATTAAGTTAAACAGTTTATAGGTTCTTTTTAAATGATATTAACATTATTTAATTTCAACAACAGCAAAAAGTATATACAATATAGTTGGTATAATTAATTAATTTGAATTTTATCATATAAAAACAATAAAGTTTAACTTCTCTATAATAATGTGTTGTAACTTACTAATAATTTGTTGTAAACGAGTTTCCATTTCAATTTTATTAATTTTTTTATTTTTTGATCATTAATATTTAAAGAAACTTTGTCTGAGCCATACAATTTTGCCATACTCTGTCATACAATTTTGTTAAACCCTTGAAGAAGCAATTTGAAATGGTGGAGACAACTGTATAATAGACAATTTTTATAAATCAAAAGTTAGAGCTGTATACAAATACAAAAAAAAAAAAAATCTTTGACACTGAAAAAGCAGCTCTGCATTAGGTATTAAAATGAAAAGTGTATAAGCATATTTGACATACTGAATTAAGAATTTGATGTTTCAAATACACATTAGGTGATGAGTTTCTGGGTTCCATTGATATCTTTGCAAAATTTGTTGACTGAAATTTTGTGCTTGTTTGTCATAACAGTAATGATTAAAAATAATATGAGTTTTGTGCATATTAAGTACTTATAGAAAACTCACTTGTTTAAAATTATAATTTCAAAAGGAATATGGTTTCATTAATTTTCAAGCATTATTTTACTTTTTAATGGCAAACTTGTTGCTGAAAATGCCACTTAACTTATCTCACACGGAAAACAGTAAAAAAAGTTAAAAAAGGTAAAAAAGTTGCTTTAACTTTTAGGTCTGATTTCTACAAATCAGTAAAGCGGTTTGTATTTGAAACTTTCACAAGATGTTTAGAATTCTATATTAATTTAAAAAAGTATATAAAAACTTATCAGAGGTGACTGGCTAGGGAAAATTAACTTGTTTTTTTGATACTATATATTTAACTTACATTACTTACGTTACCAAGCAATTATTATTATGGATTTTTTATATCTACTATTAAGAGTTAGAATTATGTAACAAAAGAATTGCAAAGTGTTGAACTCATTCATTAAAAAAAATTAACAAAAAGACAAAAGAAATTTAAAAGATTTTTAAATTAAATATAAAAAATTATTAAAAAAAAAACCTAACCTTTTTTTTTAATAATTTTTTTTCTTTGATTTTTATTTAATAAGTTAGTAATTAATTAAATACTAAATAAAAAATAATATTCAAATGTTAAAATATAATTAATCGTCCTAATAAAACAACAATATATAAAAAACTGTTATACATCATATAGTTGTTTTACATCAACTGTTATACATCATATAGTTGTTTCATAAAAACAAATGATCTTAGTTATATCATTATAAAAGTTCATTAATTTCTTTTATTTTTTGTCAATGAAAATGTCATTGTATATAAAAATTTTTACAATCACTTCATTAACAAGTAGGAGAGTGACAAATCATTTAAAAAGACTTTGGTTATAAAACTCTGAATAGTTGGATACTTGTAAAGTTGAGATAACAGTTTTTCTCTGAGTTAAAGATAAAAACTGCAATGTAACTGCAGTTTTTTATCTTTAACTCGGAGTTATTAGTGTTCACTCTGCTTAGTGAGTTTTTGTTATTATGTTTTTGTTTTGGTTTTGTTTCTCGATTTTTATTCACACTTTATTCTTTTATTCTTCAGTTTTATCAATTATATATGTATATATATATATATATATTTTTTTTTTAACATCTTCACTTCCAACAAGGCTGCAAGCAACCACTATAAGAGTTGGAAGTTACTGGAAGAGAAAAGACTAAATCTGTAGAGCAAGATAACGATTGACTGATGACTTAAAAGATTGCAAATTATATGAATCAGGAAAGCAAGATGAAGGAAGCGAATTCCAAAGAACTGATGTTCGAGGAAAAAAACTAGAAGAATAAGAGTTTTTGAAGCACTTAGGAACAGTCACAGAAAAAGGATGAGACTTAATTGAATGGCGAGTAACACGAGAATGAATTTTAGTAGATGGCACAAGGGACGCTAGCTCTTTAGAGCAGTGCCCATTATAGTATTTGTAGAAAAGAGAAAGAGAAGCAACATTACGACGATGTGACAAAAGTTGGAGATTGGCTGCCAGAGCAGGTCCAACTATGTTTACAATTCGTTTTTGCACCTTGTCTAAAAGAGAAAGAGCATCATTAGAAGATCCGCCCCAGATGTGGCAACAGTATTCCATACAGGGACGGATTTGAGATTTATAGAGATAGAGAATAGAATCTGGAGTAAGAAAGTGTCGAGCTCGATAAAGAGATGCAACCTTAGCAGATGCTAATTTTGCAATGGATTTGATATACGGTTTAAAAGAAAGATCAGAAGTAAGAGTTAATCTTAGAAGATGAATGGTAGATGACTCATCTAGTACATTACCATTCATAAATATAGGAAGATCTAAATTATTACGATAACGATTGGCCGAATAAAATTGAGTTTTATCTGAATTAAAGTTCACCAGCCACTGTGAGCCCCATGCTGTAGCAGAAGTGAGATCCTTTTCAAGCTCAGATACCCCCTCCAAGCAATCAGAGAGTGTAGGCTTCTTATCATGACAAGAGTAAATGGTAGTGTCGTCGGCGAATAATGCCACCTTAGATGTGAGAATATCTGGAAGATCGTTAATGTAAATTAAAAAGAGTATAGGGCCAAGGATTGAACCTTGAGGAACCCCTGAAGTTACAGGATGTGAAGAAGAGTTTTGTCCATCGAGGACAACTTTTATACTACGATTGGAAAGAAAGGACTCAATAATCTTAAAGACGTTACCAGCTACACCATAAGAAGAAAGCTTATGGAGAAGACCAGCATGCCAAACTTTATCAAAAGCTTTAGAAATGTCAAGTGCGATAGCCTTAACCTCTCCACCTCTATCTAATGCACGGTAAAACCTATCGGTTATTACTGTTAGCACATCAGCTGTAGAACGAGAAGACCGAAATCCATATTGATGATCAGAAAGTAAGTTATTTGATTCAAGATGAGAGATTAAGTGTTTGTTGATTAAAGATTCAAAAACCTTGCTTATGACAGGAAGAAGACTAATGGGATGGTAGTTAGATGAATCAGATCGCTCTCCGGAATTTTTGAAAATAGGGATAACAGATGCTGCTTTCCAGCATGATGGAAAACAAGACTCTGATAAGCACTTGTTAAATAGTTTAGAGAGTATGGATGAAAGCTCAGGAGAACACCTCTGCAAGACTACAACAGGAATGTTGTCAGGACCACAAGCTGTTGAAGAGTCTAAGCAGGAAATTACTTTAGATACAGAAGCTGAAGTGATGCGAATGTCAAGCAAGGGATCAACCTGTTTGACGGCTATGTCAGGTAAAACGCAACTAGTGGAATCAAGAGATGATATTGATGAAAAGTTCTTAGCAAACAATTCAGCTTTGTCTTTAGGTGAGGTGACAAAGTCTGAACCATACAAGAGAGAAGGAATAACAGATTTGCCCTTATTATTGATACTGTTAAAGATTCTCCAGAAGTCTCGAGAGCCTAATTTTTGTGATGAGATACGAGATTTAATGACCTGGGAATAGCGAGCTTTGGCGTCAGACAAAACCTTTTTACAATGGTTTCTGGCGATAGTGAACAGATGTCTGTTTTCTGGAGAATTGTTTTGCTGATAGATATGGAAGTAACAGTTTCGATTAGAAATTGCTGCAGCGCAATGTGAGGAAAACCAAGGAGAAGAGTGAGGCTTGACCTGGAATCGTTGAGAGGGAATAAAAGATTCCATGCCAGCCTGAATCCACGAAGTTATGTAAGAAGCACATTTGTCAGCAGGAAGACGAAAGATTTCTACCCAAGGGCCATCACGAAGAAAATCACGGAAAGAGTCCCAGTCAGCTTTAAGGTAGTTGTATGTGGTACGATGATAGGGGGATTCTGATGAAGTAGAAGAATTTGATAATAGTTTTAGAGAGATCAAACCGTGATCAGAGGTACCTAAGGGTGAATGTGGAGAAATTGAGCACTGACTAGGATCCAAAACAAGACATAAGTCGAGTAGAGAAGGTAAATGATTAGGGTTGTCTGGAAAACGAGTTGGAAAGTTGACTATTTGAGTTAGAGATTGAGAAATAATAAATGAATAGTCTGTAGATTCAAACCTAGTTTCACGACAAATGGGTGAGTTCTTACGAATGTAGATGCCCAGGCCAAGCATGTGATTATTGGAGTCTTTACGAATTAAAGGAAGATAACCATCAACACTAAGATCACAAGATGGGACAGCCGAACTCAAATTAGTCTCACAAAGAGCAAGTAGGTCTGGTTAACTTTGCAAGAGATAAGACTCAACAGAAGAAAAGTTACTTCGAAGACCACGAATATTAGTAAATGATAGGTTTAGAGAACTTGGTGATGACGATGGTTTTTTGTGTTTTTTAGTTTTAGGTACTTTAGTCATTTTAAATTTATAAAGAACTTGACTCAAGTATAGATAGTACTCAGTACACTATTTAACAACTAAGCAATAGCCTCATTACTATTAATAAACCCTAAGCCGTAACAAAGGGCTCCAAATGTGGCCTCTGCAATGCACACCAAAAGTACAAACAGGGACACCATTCATGCGCAACATGGCACTGGGGGTGTTTTAATTCGGAGTTAACTTCTCCTAGCCTTTGCCTAAAAAAGCGTATCCTACAAGGCAGCAGGACATGGAGCAGGTTGTACTGGGTTACATGTTACCAGTAGCAGGAAAACCTGACCTGAATATATAGACCTGAATATATAGTTATAAAATTATTTATGAATATTCATTTTAATTAAATTAGTCTAAAATATCTTCAATTTCAAAGTCAAACTTCATTACTTCATTACTTCATTACTTCATTACTTCACTTTCACTTGTATCACTTTCACAAAATATTAAATAGCATATTAAATAAACTGCCGCCTTTTTAAAAAAAGACAGGAAGTTAAAGCAGAACTTTAAACAACTTTAAAGTATGACAAACTAGTTTATCAATCAATAAAGAAAAATGTGTGATTTTTCACACATTTATTTTGCCTTTATTTAACCTGTGTAAACTGATTTGCATGGGTGTGGAGGCGGGCGCAGGCTATAGCCTACCAATCCTGTCAAAGCCTGAATATAGTTTGATAAAAAATTTTTTTATAAAATTAACATGATTTAGTACCTAAGAGAATAGGTAAATAATAAATAGAATAATATATAAATAAATATTTTTTAGTTTGTTTTGTTTTGTTATCGTAATTTAGGCAATATGGATTATTAGATTTCAATGAATCGGAAATCGACACGCGTTTTGCCTCAGACATTGATGGTGGATTCAGTTGTACTTTAACTGTAAAGAGTTATAAAGTCACTGTAAGTCTTTAGAAACTTTTCAGGTTTTGTTTGTACATTTTTCTTGGAGCAATATTTCAGTAATTTTTTTATCCTGTAGTTTTTTTTTTGTGCTCAAAAAATTAATTAGGGTTTTAGATTAAATAGCATGGATTAATCAAGGTATGACATTTAATAGCATGAATTAATTAGGGTATTACATTAAATAGCATGAATTAATTAGGGTGTTACTTTAAACAGCATGAGTTAACTAGGGTGTTACTTTAAGTAGCATGAATTAATTAGGGTGTTACTTTAAGTAGCATGAATTAATTAGGGTGTTACATTAAATATCATGATTTAATTAGGGTGTTTTATTTAAATAACATGAATTAGCTCAGGTGTTTTTTTTTCATGTCAGGCAAAACACACCCATATAAAGTAACATATTCAAGTAAATCATGTGTACTATCTAGCATGATGATAAATTAAGACATTTTATTTTTTAGAAGCTGCTCAACTTTTGTTAAATTTTACTGCTTATTGTTTTTGTGACCTGCTAGACTCATAACCTAAACATAGTGAGTGTGTAAATGTATTTATATAAACATTGTTCCCTAATACACAAAATTCGTTTAAATATTTAAGTTTATCATTTTTTTACAAGTTTTACTAACCAACCTGAGTTTTGCTTTATTAAAAACCTAAAAAACTTTAGCCCTAATAATTTATTTTTTAAAGTGCTTTTAGAGTTGAAGAAAATACATATTTTTAAAGAAATTTTGTAAAAAGTGAATAAAATGTGCAAATAATTACTGATAAGTAGCGTCAAGCAACACTTTTGTAAATTATTGTCATAATCATATTAAGCGTTAAACAGAGTTAAACAACTAAAATTAGTTTAAGAAAATGTAAGGAAAAAATATTACAGCTAATAATTAAAAAAAGAGTATAAATTATAAGGACAATGAGTTTGAAAAATATGAAAGAAAATTAAATACAATTTAATAAAAAATGTTTTTCTCTATTTCAATACATTTCTGCTTAAAAACTGTGCTGAAGCTTTTGCTGTTCTAAAAATAATTTTTAGCTTTAACTAATATAATCAGCTTTTAACTTAATTCAAATCAGTAATTAGATTAAAGATAAAAGAGATCAGAAAAATATGTGGTATTGTTTTTGTTTTTGTTTTATTGTTTATAGTTTTTTTTTTTTTTGGTAGTCTTTTTTAAATTTGAAATTATGCAGAATGCGAAGTCAAAGCTAGATAATATTTACCTAGATCTTCATTGTTTGTTACTAGTTTATTAACCCTTTCGCTCTGCTCAATTTTTAAGGTTTGACAACTCAGCACGCAGTATTTTTAGCTAAAGTTGAAGGTATATTAGAAATAAAATTCTGTTATGTTATCGTAATATCTGAACTTTGAAGTAAAGTTTTTCTGAAGGAAAAATTAGTATATTTACATAACTTATATAGATTAACACCATACCTATCATAAATTTTATACAATGTGGGTCTAAAAAACTTTTATTTTTAATAAATTTTTTACATAGCATTTTTTTTCAATAAAGTGCCACTTTGAGAAAAAACAGGCAGAAACATATGTAGGTAATAAAATTAAACTTTTTAACATTCCATAGGCATTTTTAACTTGAATAAATAAAACATATTCTAATAGCACTTTTATTTCTTATATATTTTGAGAAAATTGTAATCCCAGTTTTGACAAAACTATGAGTAAATATTGAAGAAATCAAAAAAGTACCTTGTTGCTTTGAAAATATATTGACACTAAGAACATGAAAATGCATTTCTATGGGGTACTTGTGTTTTACCTTAATTCAATATAGCTTTATTACATGTTCTTTAGTACTTTTTACATATAATTATGCATAAATAATGTCTCTAAAACAAGGTAGATAAGAAGTGTAAATAACATTTTAGATTTCAAGCTAAAATTTATTTTTTAAGGTTAGAAAAATAGAACAAATATATATACAATCATGAGAATCAATTATTTAACATTAGAATCATTATTCTTGCTATTTTTGAGCTCATCAATAATGTTTTTAACTCAGGATTGTTTCAATTGGCAACCTCAGGAAGTCAAAATGTAACTGGTTTTCAAAGTAAAAATTAAAGCAAAGTTTATAATAAAACCATGTGAAGTTGTTGTTTTGCCGGATTGCCATGGACCATTGATTTAAATTTAAAAGTCAGAAATGCAATGCAAACTTTTTTTGAATGAAATGCAAAAGTTTTTGAGTTTTAGAGTTAAATGTAAAGATATGTTGAAAAATGCCAAATTGCGTACTTCGGAACTAGCGAGAACGCCAAAAGGCATATTTCAGAGTAGAAAGGTTAAAGAATTTTTATCAGGGGTGAGTCAATAATGAAAATTGCATTCATAGTTTTGTTTGTTGAAAGATAATGCAATAGAAAATTTTTCAATACACAACATTGATGTTGCTATAGCTAACTATGTTTTTCAAAGCAATAAATTTGGTTTATTTTTACAACATAATTTTAGGATGTCTAAGCCTAAAGATTTTTTTCAAAGCAATAAATTTGGTTTACTTTTAAAATATAATCTTAAAGATGTTTAAACTTAAAGATTTCTAAAGGTCAACTTTATAAAACTGTTGGCTAGTTTAAAAAATGTATATTCTTTCAAATAAACATTTAAAGACATTAAATGTTCACTATGTTGTGTATGTTGTCTTGGTGTTCAAATATTTTACTTTACTTCTGAAAATAACTTATACTTTTTCAAATGGTCACAATAATTTAGAAGAAGGAAAATTTATTTGGATGGCTCAATAAGAATAAGAGACTCAATAAAGAGAAAAAAAACAGTTTCATTTACTAAAAGATAAATATAATAGTGTTATAGCATTATGTATAAAGACTTCTTCCCATAAACTTTTGTTGTTGTTATTTAACTTTAAATTAACAAAATAAAAAATCATTATATAATTCACACACACACACACACACACACACACACACACACACACACACACACACACACACACACACACACACACACACACACACACACACACACACACACACACGCACGCACACACACACACAGATACACACATGCACGCACGCACACACAATTATAATAAAACCCTTAACTAATTTAAATTGAATAACTTTTTTTATTTTGTCAAATCTACCAGAGTATTTATTAAAAAAACTTACAATTATATTTATTTTTTTCTTTAATCATTCAATTTGGCATTGTTGTTAGGCAGCACATCAAGATCGTAAAATTGCAAAAAATTTGGCTGCTCAGTATATTTTAAAGGTAATAAATCTTATTAGTTTCACTTTGAATTTACCAAATAATAAGAAAAAAAAATTTAGCTCCTAAGTTGTTAAATATATTTAATTCCTTTTTTTTTTATGATTTTGTTTTTTACTTTGTTTGATATTGTTTACTTAAAATTAAAAAAAATTGTGATAAGTAATTAATTACTTATAGAAGCTTCATCCTGAACTTATTTGTTGGGGATCTATTATGCGTTTGCATAAAAGTGTTCAACTTGCTTTATTACAGGTAGAAATAAAGTTATAAATTTTTTAAACTATTTCCTTCAGTTTTGGCCCATTTAAAATTCTTATAAAAATTTTAAACCTAGTGTTATTTTATTATTTTGCACACATTTAGAGGTTGTGCCTAGTTTTTTGAAAAAAAAGTTGAAAAAAAAACACCCTAATATATATATATATATATATATATATATATATATATATATATATATATATATATATATATATATATATATATATATATATATTCAAATTATATTGCGTACTAAGGTAAGCAATCTGAAGTCATCCTGAAATAGCCTGCTGCTGGGGGCTTCAGTACATACATTGGCTGACAAATAGCCTGACTCGCAGTGGAGTGCTGTTGCATCGACTGAGGGTTTGGGATGGGGCAGCAATCGTTCCATTCATCATTCTTCGTTTTTTTTTCTTCTTTTTCTAAAAAAGCAGTATAGCTTAAGGTAAGCAAAAAAAGTGAGCTGTAGAAGTGTAGTGGTAGAAGTTTGCTTGCTTCATAAGTGAGAAGTTCCAAGTTTGATTCCTATTAAACCTCTGGTTTAATAGAAATTCAATATATATATATATATATATATATATATATATATATATATATATATATATATATATATATATATATATATATATATATATATATATATATATATATATATATATATATATATATATATATATATATATATATATATATGCTTGGGTAGACCAATTGAATTGATAGGTACTTATGTATTAACTAACTTGTTGTGAATCTTTTGACTGTTTCTTTATATTGTTTTGTTTAGCATTACTTCACTCAATCACTTTTCTTTTTGTTCATTATCAATCTCCTTCCTTTCAAGACAACACTTTCTTTGATGTTATATCTGATTAAATTGACTGACATTTTTTATTTTTCTCATCAGTCGATATTGTTATTATTGACTAACTATGATAATCACCAATGAATAGCTTTGTCTAGGTCAGTACCACTGACCTTACTGGCACTAAAACTCATATCTTTTTTTTACTAAAACTTTTATCTTGTTTCTTTACATTAAAATATCATATTTTTTCTTTGATCTATTCATTACCCTATAATTGTATTTCCTTCCTCATTTTTTACTAAGTTTGCTCTATCATTACACTTCTTATTTTCTACTAAATTTTCTTTTTCTATCTCAAGTCTGATACCTTTTGTAGCTTTTTTGTGATGATCTTTTTAATGATGTCTATTGTCTCTCTGGTGAAAATTAGGCCTCCTAGGTGACCTCCTGGATTCAGGCAGGCATAAGAGCTTTTATGAAATATATTGTTTAATGCTTAAGTTTTATTATTCCTAAATCTCGTATTTCATCTTAGTTAGAAGGTTAAAAGGCTTTATCAAAATTTTTAATGAGTCGTTAACAATAAAAATTCTAACATTCTATCTTTTATACATGGGTCTGATTTTATTACCTTTCCCAAGCACAAGGCTAAACTATTTGAAAAGAACTTTTCCTCTAATTGGACTCTCTCAACTCTAATCATTAAATTCTTGTTGACATCTTTAAGAAATAAATTGGAGTTTTTGGTTAACAAACTACTAATATTTTATCTCGAGTTCAATAAATATAATTTATATTGCTGTATATACTGCTATAAATATATAATTACAATTATTACTGCTGTAAAGTAGTATAATATACTGCAAGCTATATGATTTAAAAGTAGTGACATAATTTTTTATAACTCATTGTTAAATAATTGTATTATGAAATAAATTAGATATTTATTATTTATAATGAATATAGCTATACAATATTTTTTGTGTTCTCTTAGACAACTCTTAAAGATGAGAAAGAAAAGACCTTGAAAAATGAATCACAAAGTGAACGCATCATAAATATTTTACATGAAGAAATGCGGAAAATAGGAAAATGAGTTTCAAATAGTTACTTAGTACCCAGTTTTTTGTGAATTATGAATTTGTTATTTGTTAAAGAATTACTTTAAGATATAGTTACATTTGTTTTTATTTTTTGTTTAACTTTCGGAAAGGAAACTAATTCTGTTAAAAAATAATGTAAGTTTGACTTTTTTTTATATGATTAAATCACAGTTATATACTGCAATGCTTTAATTAGTTATATAAAAAAAAGAAATAAAAAATAAAATCAATTCTTTTTATCTTTTTACAGTTATTTTTGTTAAACTGTGATTGCTTTTATTTACAATAACTATAAAAGATAAAGCAACAAAAAAGTTAAGCTATGTTCGAATTCATAGATTTATTTTGTTCAAACAAAAACTGTAAAGTATATACAAATTCAAAATTTGTGACATTCTACCAATATATATTTTTTCATATAATATAAATCTATGATAATCGTATTTTTAAAATATTCTCTAATTACAGTATAAAGGATAACTTATTAAATAATATCTACAAAATTTTTTTGTTTTATGTTCTATGAAAATCTATTTCCACTCTGTGATGATGTCACACGGTGATGATATCATACTGTGATGATGACACTCTTTGATGTTGACTTTTATTTTTTACTTTCATTCTACCTTTTTTTAATCACAAAATTTGGAACAAATAATAACCATATTCAATAAATCTCAATTTTTTTTAAACTAAATTTATTTTTCATTTTAAGATTTTCTTTTACGATTACGGTCTTACTTTAAAAAATATTTGGTTGCTACAGAAGGTATCGTGTAAGCAATGTTGTTGTTTGGTTACTGTCAAATATGTTGAGTAAGAAATTTGAGCCTTAAGAGTAAAAATTTAAATTTTTACTGTAAAGGCTCAAATCTAAATGTAGCTTCATTAAGGTTTATGAATTATAAATCAAAGAAGTTGTCAAATCAAATTAATTTTGTACTTTTGAATTTTGTACTTTACCCACAAGTTTATAGGAAATATACCAGTAATGTCCATAATACACACCAAAGCTTATTGTATCACATTAATTTTGTGATTTTTTTTTGTACTAAGTTTATAATTTTTTATTTAATTTGTTTTTGAATTTACCTTTTTCTTTATAATTTTGAACTGAAGTTTTTTTTATAACATTTGCATGTTAGTAAAAATGTTGAAATATGTACATAATAAAGTTAGGCTGGGAAAAAACTTGAACCTGTTTAAAAAACAAAATCTTTCTGCCGTTAAATCATCTGAAAATCAAAACTTTGTAGATGGTCGCAGATGTCTGCCACAGTTACACACTTCATCGAAAGTTATTAATAACATTAATCCTGGAACTGGGGCTATTATTGGCCAGTTCTATTGTTCTGGAAAAGATGAGCTTGAAAGAGCAGTAGCTAATTCAAAAGAGGCTTTTGAAGTTTGGTCACACCAGACTGTATCTGAACGCAGCAGTATTTTTAGAAGAGCAGCAAAAGCAATTCGATCAAAGAAACTTGATATCGCAAGACTTGAAACCATAGATACAGGTAACTAGTTGTTAAGGTGTTTGTAAATTTTTAAACTTTTGTTTGTTGATTGGTTCGATTTCATCACTAAAGTATTTAGAATTATAGAATTAATGCAAAAGAATTTTTTCAAAGTCATTCAGAAACAGAAAATAAGTAATAAATTTATTTAATAAACTTATTGCATCAATACTTACTTCCTTTACTTATTATTGCTTTTTAAACAGAGCTTGAAAAATAAACAACATCTAATACACAAGCATTTAACAATAGCAACATCTCATAAGGTTTTTTATTTGCTACTGAGAGTCTCCGATGCATCTAATTGAAACAAAGGGGGGAGGGAGAGATGAAAGAATTGATTTTTTTTTTCCATAAATCTTTCTTTTTTTTTTTTTTTTTTTACTTAGAAAGTGAATGGATTAATATTGGCCTTTTAAAAAAGTCAAGTGAGCAGAATAAGCTACTACTGTGCCTTAAACAACACCTTTATTTTTTAGATCTGTATTGAAATATGGAGGTTATTTTGAATAAACAACACCTTTATTTTTTAGATCTGTATTGAAATATGGAGGTTATTTTGAATAAACAACACCTTTATTTTTTAGATCTGTATTGAAATATGGAGTTTTTTTTGAATAAACAACACCTTTATTTTTTAGATCTGTATTGAAAAATGGAGGTTATTTTGAATAAACAACACCTTTATTTTTTAGATCTGTATTGAAAAATGGAGGTTATTTTGAATAAACAACACCTTTATTTATTTAGATCTGTATTGAAAAATATTTTATTAGTGAGAAAACACGTTGGATCTTAAAGTACATTTTTACAACTGCTTCTTTGATACTTTAAACTTTTTTTTCTCAATGCTCAATAGATTCTATTCATCATTTACCTGATTTTTTTTATTTAAATTAATTTATAAACATTCTGATGCTTAACACAAAGTTATGGTCGCCATAACATTATTAGGTGAACCTAATTTTTTATGAAGCACAAATTTGTGATTTTACTTAAAGGGGTAATATGCAATATTAACTACTTATTTTTACGCTTTATAAATATTTATTGTCTATAATGATACTATATTATTTACTGAATTTTGTGTTAATTTTTAAGTTCACTTTAAGGTTTGATTTGCAGGAATTAGAGTCAAGCTCCTTAATAATTAAAAATATCAATAAAGTACCTAAAAATATTAAACAATAAAAAAAACTATTGCTATCAAATTGTTTTGATCAATTCTTTACCAATATTTGTCAAATTGATCAAGCCTTTTCTTATTATTCCTCAACTGTTTTTGTTGTTATTACTGGCTAATACATCACACTGATTGGGTTGGCTTTAGTGCATTTGAGCTTGCTTGCTTTTTTCTTGCTCAATTTCTCACCCAGATCTCTTATCTAACTCAAAGTTTTTTTCTTTCTTAATAATTAACTTTATAAAACTTGTTTTTCAGTCAACCCTTATCACTGCTTTTACTCCTTGATTTGTGTCTTGTCTCCCTAAATTGTTCATAGTTTCTCCATGCTCTCCTTTAGGTGTTTTAGATCATGGTATGATCTCACTAAAAAAATTTATCTCATACTTCTATATCAGATTCACACTATCAATGCACATTTTACTACTATCTCAAGGCTGAATGAGATTCTTTTTTGTGATTCATGCATCAGGCGCGCATGGAAGCTCTTATTTTTTCACATCAATTATAAGTCAAGGTTTTCTCTCTCTTGTGTAGTTGATTTATCCGTCTAATTGTAATCGTTTCTTTTGTTTTTAACATTTCAAGAAATTGATAAGAAAGTAGTAAAAAATAAAGTAAAAGATATAATTCTAAATCTTGCATTTTATTTTAGAAGTTAGGGTCTAGTCACTAACAAAAGCAGACCTAGCAATCCATCCCTTATACATAAATCTGAACTTTAGATACCATGATAAGGCAGAACTGTTTAAAAACCATGATAAGGCATGAACTACCATGATAAGGCAGAACTGTTTAAAAATAACTTTTAACTCAATTTATCTCTTGAATCTAATAATAAAAAATAATTCTTCCTATCATCCTAAAGAAACAGATCACTGCTATTGCTTTTAAAATATCAATACGATAAAATCTGGGAAGCTGGGTGGGGATTCACAAAACTTTCATAACTCTTGCGTAACTTACAGAAATTGTACGCAAATTTAACTTTTCGTAACTATTTGGTATTCACAAACATTTTGCAGTGTTTGCGTATTGTTAGGTTTGTGCAAAAGCTACGCTTTACTTACGCAAAAAATCTTTAGATTTTTTGTGTAAGTTTAAGTTAAATTATAAAAAAATGAGATATCATTCGTTTACATTTGAACTAAAGTAAATAAGGTAATATAAATGTATCAATAGAGCTACTATTATTATTTGAAATTACTATAGCAACTTTTTTTTTTAAGTTTATATATAAGAAAATTGGTTTATTAGTAAAAGTAAATTTAAACTTGAAAAAAAAAATAATGAAATTAAATTTAATCAATATTTTAAGGAATTATAGATACAAAAAATCTCTATGAAAATATGATTTATTTGAGACTCAGATTGGCATACTTTTAAAAAAAAAGTTTTTTTTTTACAATATTATGAACTTTTTCCCCTGAGAAATAGAATAATAAATTGTATTGTTAGTTCAGCAACAAAAATTTTTTGTTGTTGTTAGCCTGTGCAACTATTATAAGCACTATTTTAAAGGAATTATTTTTTTTTTTTAAATTAATTAAAATGTTAGTTAGGGCTTTCAATGATTTCTAATCATGAATGAAATGAAAACTTGAATGAAAACTGAATGAAAACTCCTATTAGAGTATTATTTACCACCTGTAATAAGTATTTATTAAAAGCAATAAAAAAATAAAAATTTCACATTTGGACCCTAGTTTTGTGTCACAAACCGTAAAAAAACCAGGAGATTCATCGATAGGTATTAAGATAATGGTAGTTCCTATTTCCAAGATACTCTGTGAAGCAAAATCATTATCTTGGCTTAAAGTATGAAGATGTTATAGCATAAACAACTAATTAGCCAAAATTTATCCCAAAATAACTTACTTTAGAACACCATAACTCTGTTCAAGAATAAAATCAAAAAAATTTATTGCTTCAATGAGTTTATTGTATATATTACTACAATTGTACAAAATTTCAAAGCACTACAACAAGTAGTTATTCAAGTTATTTATTGCAGCATGCTAAAAATAACATTCTAAGAAAAAAACAATTTAATATTATTAAAATTGAAAAAAATTAAGTTAAAATATTAAAACAAACTTTTATTTCTAAAGATTTGTAACCACTCCTCAATGTAAGATCAGTAGTCTAATTTTATAAAAGCAGTACTCTAAACTTATAAAAGTTTTTTATAAGCTTTATTTAACTGTTTAAGTTTCATACAGAAATTAATATTCATGTTTAGCAAAACTAAAAAGTTTTAAAATTATAAATAAATATTCTATAAAATGTAAAAATTCTGGTAACCCTATTTCAAGTTTTAATAAAAATATCAATTGGAAGATTGAATTAAACTAAAATCACTAAAAACATCCAGCATCATAAGTTATTTCATCTCATTTTGTTTATCTTGATCAACTTAACCTTTTTATTTGCATCTAATTTGTTTCCAATGTTGTTTTAATTTATCACTTGATTTTTTTTGCTATATTTTGAATTTTTTATCTTTTTGATTGCAAAACGTTATATAATTATTACCTGGATTATTAGTTCTAAATTTGAGTTTTTTCAAGACACCTTTCTAGCATGTTTTTATCAGATAAATCAATAAATATTAGTTTGATCATGTAATTACAACAGGCTGTCTTGGTTTTTCTATTTGCACATGTTTCAATAATATTGTCTGCTTAAAATTTGTACCAGGTATTAATAGGTCCACAACTCATTGAATGTCTTAATTCTGAAAATGATGCCTCAAATTCACAAAACCACAGCTTTTGTAATGTCCTTTTCCAGTTTCATGCATTGCAATTACTAAATATAGATTTATATCAAAAATCATTAGAATTTTTATTTGAAACTTTTTTTACTGGTTTAGAACTTCATATTCCATATACACTCAGTGCAATTAAATAACAACAAAGAACTTAATTTTTTTTTTTTTTTTTATATACTATCTATATTCATGTTAATAATTTTTAATAATTGTTAATAATTAATAATTCATGTTAATAATATTTCATGTTAATAGACTTCATCTCACAGCCAGGGCATGCTCAAACAAAGGCACAAAAAAAAAAAGATGATTCTTCATTCATATTTCAAAAAAAAAACTGACAATCTTGATTTTCATCATCCTTTTTTAATAAAAACTTGAGAAGCTCAAGTTTTTCTTCTCCTCAAAACATCAGTTTTTATATTGTGCAATTAGAATAATATATTTATTTTATTCTTCACTAAAAAAAAAGAATAATAAAGAATTAAGCTCAGGTTACATTTACCATTAATAACTAAAAAAGATAACATTAACCTTTAATCTACACATAAAAAGAAATTACATAACATTGTAATACAATAGGTAATACATTGTATAATAGGTAATACATTGTAATACAAATAGGTAATACAAAACTTAATTAACTAAAAATAATTAAATCAATTATTAAATTAACTAAATAATTAAATTTTTTATGAATTTAATTCTCAATATTATACTACATAAATATATTTTATTAAACATAAAACTACTTAACTTAATCTTTTGATAAACATAAATTTATTGAACTTAGTATTGGGAATATTACCTTTTCCCTTCAAACTAAAAGTTTCAGTAGAACCAATTTACAACTTATTTATTTGAAAGCACAAGCTAACAAACATTATTCTTTATTAACAAACATTCATTATTAATAGAATAAAATAAGAATTTTTTTAGAACTTGCATAGAATTTTTGCCATCTTTTATACAGCAAATTGACAAAACATTTTAGCAGAGTATGTAATTACTACTGCAAAATGACATTACAGACTAATTAGTAAACAACATTTTAACAGAGTATGTAGTTATTACTGCAAAAAGAACTAGTTATAAATTAAAAAAAAACTTCTTAATAAACTTTAGCAGTTTAATCAAATTACTTTAATCTATAGCCTATAGTTCCTTAGGCAGTAATATATTTCTGCAAAAGGAACTATAGCCTATAGATTAAATTACTTTAATTAAACTGCTAAAGTTTAATAAAAAGTATTTCTTAAATTATACATTTAAACAAAGTATGCAGTTATTAATAACTATATACTCTGTTAAAATGTTGTTTACTAATTAGTCTATAATGTCATTTTGTATGTATGTTATACTCTATGTATAGGTATGCCTACATTTGTAATAAAGTTTGTAAAATATAATAAGTTTTGTAATAAAGTATATGGCTACACTTAGCATATACGTGGCATACTCTATAGAGTATAGAGTATACTTAAGCATAGTTTAGAGAATTCAATAATTTATAGGCACATTTATAATTTATATTAATTAATTAATAGGCACATTTACACTATATTTATTACAAATTTTAAAAAATCTCATCACAAATCTTATCAAAAAAGTCAATATATGTGAGCTGCGCCAATATTTTAACGTTACGCCAAAGTTAAGGTAGCTCCTTCTTAACGTAACTTTTCTTGCTGAGCATTTTCTTAAGACGTTTTGTGAATTTGACTTATGTAAGATTAATCTCAAGTTTTTTGCGCAAGTTTTGTGAATATAAAATTTGTCGAAATTTCCAAACTTACGCAAAACTTACGCTTAAAAAAGTTTTGTGAATCCACTCCCTGGTCTTCTCCATGAATAACTTCTTGATTACAACAAAGTTTTATTTTTGGTCTATGTTAATGTATTTGCTGATATTCATACTTGTAAAAGTGGTTCTTATGATAAAACTCTATGCTTTAGTTTTAACAAAATCTTATCACTTTTTGCTTTCTTAATATAGGCAAATGATCGAGAATTGGGTCTCTTTTCTGTAACAACTTGGAGCTTGCATTGGCTGGTAAATTTTAACTCAAGTAAAACCCAATAGTTTAATAATGGTTCTAAATTTCTTGTTCTTTAACTCTTTTTTTTTTTCTGTTCTCCTTAAACAGTGGTTGCTGCCATGTTATGAGTAAATTCATTTAATACACAGATACATATGTTAAAATATGCAAATGCATATGTTAAAATATGCAAATACATATGTTAAAATATGCAAACACCAGAATTTCTTTTTTGTCAGTTTTAAGTCAAGCCTCACTCTTAATTATGGTTTCTTCTCATGCAACTACTATTGTTTTTAATTTTTTTTTATCTTTTCTGCAAGAACAACTCTCTAAAAAACATCTTTTTTTTGTTTTGTTTTTGGTATCTATGCAATTTATTGAAATAAACAAATGCACAAAAAAAAAAAATGTTAAAAATGGAAATACCTAAAACCCTGAATAAAATAACTTGGTTTTATAATAAAAAAATAATCAATTTCATTATATTTTTAGTTCTGTTATTTTCATAATTTTAATAAGATATTTCCTACTTTTAAATGATATATACTTTTAAATATTTTATATAAAATATTTTAAATCAGTTCACAATTTTACAAATATAAAAATTCTAAAATAATTGTAATCATCAAATCAACTAGAATCTACTGCAGATTTCTAAAATCAAATCAAATATTGAATCTACACCTGGTCCTATGTGATACAACAAGGATTTATTACTTTTTTCTTAGTAGACAAATTACAATTAAAAGAACAAATAAATAAGAAATAAGAAACAGTAATAAAGCGCCTTTACTGTTTTGTTTAGCGATGATAATCTGATTTCACTAGGGAAAACCATAACAGAATCAAGCATGGATGTAGATGCTGTTATTGAATCTTGCAACTATTATGCTTCTTTATGTTACATGCTTCATGGTCAACAAATACCTGTGCATAATGGTGCTTTGGTATACACTGTGAGAGAACCACTTGGTGTATGCTTAGGTATATATATATTAAGTTTATTTTTGTTAATGTTAAATAAAATAAAATATATTTAATAAAGTTTCAAGTAATACTGCTTTTCTTTTAATTAAATTATTTTAAGGGATTGGTGCTTGGAATTTTCCATTTTTGAACATAGCATGGAAAGCTCTTCCTGCTTTAGCTTGTGGAAACACACTGGTATATAAACCTTCACCTAATACACCAATCACAAGTGTAGTTTTTGCTGAGATAATGGCAGATGTTGGTCTTCCAGCAGGTTGTTTAAACATAGTACAAGGTGATGGTGAGGCTGGTCAGTATTTATGTGAACACAAAGATATTGCTAAAGTATCATTTACCGGAAGTATTTCAACAGGCACAAAGGTAAGGTGAAATTTGGTTAGTTTCTATTATTGATAATGTAAATATGTTACTGATAATTATAGTTTATGTTAATTTATTATTAGTGTAAATATAAATTAATTTTTGAATTTAGTTTTTAGTGCAATGACAGTTAAAACTAGGATTTTTTAATTAGATAATGGCAGCATGTGCACCCACTTTAAAGAAATTGACACTGGAATTAGGAGGCAAATCTCCACTTGTTATATTTGAAGATGCTGATATTGATAATGCTGTGCAAGGTGCGCTTATGGCGAATTTTATCATACAAGGAGAAGTAAAAAAAAAATTAGTTTAATATTTTGTCTTAAATGTGATTTTTGTGGAGTTGAAACTGTTAAATTTGTATTAATAGAATTGAACCTGTCATTAGTTTTTCTTTCTTTTTATAAATGTTATGGTACCCTTAGAATTTGAAATTATTCAATAGTGGTAAAGCAAAACATGATATATCTTATCTGAAAAAACTAACACAATCAGAAACACTAAGAAAATTTGACTTTTCTGTTTATAAATTATGTAAACATTTAAGGGGCTCCCACTTAGCTGTTCCTTGAATACCATTATCATTGTACACTTGTTCTCAGTTTTTTCCAAAAAACAAAGTTTTCTAATGTTTTTCAAAGGAGGGACACAAATAGTTAATACAATCCCATCCTCTAATTTAGAAAGCTTTTCTGAAATAATGTAATATAATTTTAAAAATGCATTTACACAATAACAATCACATATAGCAACTTCTTCTAGCAAAAAAATTATAAAAAAGTCAGATAATTTTATAATTTTTATGCTGGAATTTATCTGTTCCAACAGAAAATTTGAGTTTAATTCTGAAATTAAAATCATCTTGTATAGAAATTTAGGACTGCCTTTATAACAAACTTTATAACACAGTTTTAATCAATAAAGAAGGATAATCTAGAGATTTACTAAATAATTTTTAGTATTACTAAATACTTATACCTGGATTTTGTAAAAAATAATATGGGTTATTGATTTTGTAAACTTTCGAAGTAAGATGTGTCAAAGTAATAACTTATAGTGATTCGAATCCAGGTCTTAATTGTATAAAACACGATGCATTAAAAAATATTCAATATAGTTGCATATAATTAGATCTTAATGTAATATAAAATAATGTAGTATGAAATAATATTAATTGGGCAAATCTTAATCTTTTGTTACTTATGATTTTTCTTATGATCTGTCATGACATTTTAAAAATTTATTATTTCCTCAAACTTTGACCAGGAGTCTACAATATTTATATAATTTTGAGATAAACCTTTTATACAAATTTTACTTCACAATGAAATGTTTGGAAATGTAAATTCTAAAAACTTTAACAAGAAATAGAGAAATAAAATAAAATGTAATATATTGAATAGTAATTATTTATCACACACACACATATATATATATATATATATATATATATATATATATATATATATATATATATTCTTAACATATTATCATTATTATTATTATTATTATTAACATATTATAAATATATATTCTTAATATATATATATATATATATATATATATATATATATATATATATATATATATATATATATATATATATATATTCTTAATATATATATATATATATATATATATATATATATATATATATATATATATATATATATTCTTAACATATATATTACCAGTGGAATTAAAAATTTTCTGAGATTTTTTAGTACTAAGTTTATTAGTTATAACATTTTCAACAACGTTAAAAAATTGTTTGCAAATGTGGTAATGTAGTAGTTATTTGAATTATAGGTATTGAATTAGAGTGGTATCTATTGTTGTTGTTTACCATGTACAGTAACTCTTTCAAAACATTTTATAAGGTGTTGTAAAAAATATCTGCCATCTTTAATAGATTTTTAGCCATATCAGTTGTTACTAACTTGTTAACTCTTAATAAAATTAGTAATATTGTTAGCAGTTAAAAAATTGAAAGCAAAAATATAAAAATAAATATATAAATAATTTAATAAAATTTATATCAGAAAAAACATCTTAATTTTAAAAACGTATAAGTTGTGCAATAAATTTGTCGTCAATATAGATTGCCATGGAATTATCTTATCTTAGCAATTCATACCACGAAAATAATATTTTCTTATTAAAAAATTATTTTCCAATTTAAATTTATTAGTTAAATTAACATTATTTATATTATTAATTATTTATATGAGGAATTATATGAGGAATATTTTTTGTTGATATACTTAATTTTTAAAACAATTTAGTAACTATAATATATCTCAATATATCTCAAGCTTGTTTTTATGCTCTTTTAAATGAAATTTTCTAAAGAGTAGTAGTTAGATTGCTAAAGCTAAAATATTATGTTACTATTTCTATTGTGCTTTTACATTTAATATAGGCTTGCTCCAATGGTACAAGAGTGTATGTGCATGAGTCAATATTAGACAGCTTTCTTGAAAAAGTTGTAGAAGCAACAAGAAATTTAAATATTGGTGACACAATGGATGCTCGGACTCATATTGGTGCATTGATCAGTCTTGAACATTTAGAAAAAGTCCAAGGTTTTATCAATAGAGCTGTATCTGAGGTGTTTTTATATAGATATATTTATAAATATATGTTGGTATCTAGTTAATGTTTATAGAGTTTTATTTGAGCAAAAAATTGTTTCAAACTTTTAAAAGATGATCTTTTACAAATATATGTTTGTTATGTTTTTTTAGTTATAACTAAAAAAAATTAAAAAAATTAAAAAACAGTTTACTTTGTGTTAAATAAGTTTGACAGTTTATCTAAACTTCTGCTTTTTGGAAAGTGATATTTCTATTTTTTCTATTTTTTAAAATAAAAATCCTACTCTACATAAGCAAAGTCTTTAATCCTTATCCAATAACACAACGTCATATAACAACAGGTTTATGTTATTAAAAATAAGGTATATGTTATTAATTTTAATTTTTTAATTTAAGGCCACCTTTCCATACTTTGATTAATATAATTTGATTTTTTCTTGTTTTATTTTTATTAAACTTGATGCAACTTGCTTAGCTGCAGAATCATTGTATTTTTTTTTAATTTCTTTTTTTAAAATCTTTTTGTCTAGTTTAAAAGCCCAGTTCCTAAGTTAAAGGTACACAACCTTTTTATGTACGTTTTTTTAAGCATTTACAATTCTCCAATAGGGCAATGTATCAACATATATTTGTAAAAGATCATTTATCTCCAATAATAAGAGCAACTCCAGGTTTGATATTATATTTCATTATGTATTTAGGTCCAAAAGATTCAAATTTTTAAGATTTGTTGTTCAAATTTTTAAGATTGTTCAGTAATGTTTAGTAAAGATATTTATTAAATAATTAATTTCCAAAAAATTACCAATATGTCTTTTTTTTTTTTTTTTTTGCCTACTTAATTAAAATAAATATTATGATAGTTATAATTAGTATATTGATATTATTGTAACATATTATGATAATTTTTATTTTATATTTTAGGGAGCCAAGATTTTATGTGGCGGTGATAAGCCTAAGTTTGAGAATCGATCTTTTGCAAACGGATACTATATAAATCCATGTATTATGACACACTGTCATGATGGTATGGAAATTATAAAAGAAGAGCACTTTGGACCTATTATGTGTGTCATGCCATTTTCTAATGAAGAAGAAGTTTTAAATAGAGCAAACAGTAGCACAACTGGTCTTGCTGCAGGTGTATTTACAAAGTGAGAATTTTTTGTCAATTTTTTAGCACTTTAAAACTCTTTTTTAATACATTTTATGAGGTTAAAGAGAAGTATTAATTATGGTATTATATATTAAGAGAAGTATTATTTATATTAAAATTTATGTAATAATTAATTTACTGTAACTTATTGTTCTGTTAAGTTATTCTGTTAAAAAACACAATATAACTCTAAAAAACATATTCTATAAAAATATTAGTTTAATAAAAGTTTATATTCTGTTTTTTTGCTACAGTTGTGATTCTGTCAGACAGACACTATTCAATTTTTTTTTTTGCTGCAGTTGTAACTCCATGAGACAGACATTATTTAGTTTTGATAGCCACTATATTATCTTAGGCATCTATCAGTGGCGTATCTAAAAAATTTTTGGGCATATCAGTCATACTTCCACGAACACATTAAGGACCTTTTTTATTTTTTTAGTAACCATTGGTAGTGTTAACATATTTCTGGATCATTAGTACCAATTGGCCCAAAAAATATTAAAACGCTACTGAAAACCATCAAATGTAGCCTCTTCACTCTATAAAAAACAAACTTATGTAAGAATTATATAAGTATTGAAATACTTCAAGCTGGAGTTTAGGCTAAAAAAATTTTCTCAGTGAAGATCAAATGGCATTGGTATGCATAAAATTGTTATAGATTCAAAGGTTTTCTCAGTGAAAAACAAATGTTATTGGTGAACATAAGCAAAGTTAAAATGTGTCAAGTAACTATATGGTCATTTGAAGGGCTCAGTGGAAAAGTGGTCTAAGCCACAATTACTTCATTTTTAGTAAACTGTAACAGGCTTCAAGGATCTTTTTAAAAATAACAGGAAAAAGTATTATTATCAGAAGGATAGTATTTATTATAAAGACAGTTGAAAAAATACACTGGTATATCTACTAAAAAATTAGGACACTATATAACTGTGTTCTGCAATAATAAAAAGGTTAGGCAACTTTGCCATTTCAAATTTTTGTAAGTATTGTTAATAGAGTTGGTTAGGCTAAACAGATGTTTTGTCTATGACTTGTTAATGATTCTTTTATATATGTAGCATGTACTAATTTATATCTTCGTCACCAGAATCATCTGTTAGACTCAAATTAGTTGCCTCCTCGTCACCTTTAAGAGCAAAATAGGGATGAAAGACAGGCGGTATGAATTGATTTAGTTCAAAAAGATCACTTTGCTTTTCTTTTGTGAGTTTTCTACCATTGAGGTACAAGGGCTCAAGTTCAACATTAATAGTGTCAAATGGCCGTCCACGATTTCGTATTGTTATATGCAGCTACATGAATCTATCACTTTCTAAATGCGTCTGCTTTATTTGAAATGAGATATATTGTAACATAAGAGACATTTTTATATTACGATCTTGTCCAACACAATTATCACTATACAATATTAAATGGTTCACATTTTCTGGTATGTGTTGAAAAACATGCTTCAGGAAACATAAACCTATCTCTTGAGTACCTCTGGGTGCTTGTTCCTCACTCCATACATACATAAATCCTGTCTTTAAGTTTTCATCATGGATTTCAAGATTGTAAGTCCACATTTGCCTATTATAGTAGACTATTGCTGTAGTTTTAATCACTGGTATTGGTAGAGTTTTTTGTAAGTCAAAAAGTTAGTACCCTCTTGTATGGATTTGTATGTGCATCTATTGTATCTTCTTTCATTTATTCTTTTGCCTTTTCAGCCATCTCTTGATGAATAATAAGGTTCCTCCTAACAGTGTTCTTTTCTTTACCCTCTAAAAGACACTTAATTTTATTGTTAAATAGATCACACTTTTGACATGTATCTGATTGCGGATGGTGAAAATGTAAATTGATTTTTGTATTGAATATGTGTCGAAATACAAAAATTTAAAGTGGGGTGCGATCATTTTCATTGCAATTGCGAACATATTTCTCGTACATTGTTGACATTTGTAAAGTTGGAGGCAAATAATTTCTGTACTGGTTGTCTTTTCGGCTATAGTGGGATTGGTATATTGGAAATAAGCGAATAAATCTTTGAAGATATTCGATGTCTTTGTTACCACTTTTATTTTTGTGGAGCCGATTTACCCCTGTGGTCTTCGATAGATGTATCATCTGTTTTTTTCCTTGCTAAAATATTTGTTATTGTCCCATCAGGGATCTGGAATGTGTCTTTGAAGTAAGTTTTGCAAATCTTTTTAACATTTCTATATGCATCAGTTAGTTTATAGGAACAACTATTTGCTCTATACATCCTGTGTTTTTCTTTTACATCAACAGAACCCATTACAAAGGCATTTTTTAAATTCCAATTCCTAACAAAACAAACTAAATGGCCCTAGCTAATCTAATGTTAGGCCTAACACCAATGTAAACAATTGATCCTAGGCCATATCAATAGGACTAAAAGATTCTTTTTATAAGTCTATTTATTTTTAGACAAATTGTACATATCATCAACTCTTGTTAATATAAGTATAGGTCTTGCGTTTTTTTCAACATATTGATCCCCAATACTTGAATATGCAATAAAAAAAGTAAATGTCAGTTTTGAAAAAACTAGAAGAGGAATACCTGCCTAAATAACATTGAGGCTAAAAACTATATTATTGTATGATAAACTCAATGAAAATTATATCTTTATGCTGCATTAATTATATACATACCTTCGCTAATATCATCCGTTAAAGAACAGTTGTTATCTGCACCTGAACCATCACAATCACTTTTTATTATAAAGTTTTTCAAATCTGAGCTGTTCATTTTTGCTATGTTGATTGTGGGATAGGCAACTTTTCTACAATTCGAATTTTATTTTTCTGTTAAAGTAAATATGATTATAGATAGCAGCACTGTATGGATGGATTTTTGGGTTTGGCACTTTTTCCACAACAAACTACATACTCAATGTATAGTTTGCAGTGATTATCCGGAAAATTTCAAAAATGTGGGTTAGACCACTTTTCCGCTGAGCCCCTCTTTTATAAACCTGGTAGTGAACTTCTATCAAAATTTTTACTAGATGACAAAAATATATTTATTCTCTTACCAGATCAATTTATTTTCAATAAATGCACAAATAATAAATTCACTTGTTAATAAAACAATAAGTCATTGGATATCAAGCAAGTTTTTTTTGGGAGAGATATATTTGTTTAAATTATTATCAATAGAGTAGGATATTATTCATTAAACTAGTAGGCTGTAACCTTTATTGATACTCATGTACCTATTAAAATAAACAGTGTACCTATTAAAATAAACAGTGTACCTATCAACATAAACAGTGTAACTATTAATATTAACAGTGTAACTATTAGTATAAACAGTATAACTATTAATATAAACAGTTTAACCTAATAATATAAACAGTGTAAATATTATTATAAACAGTGTATCTTTTAATATAAACAGTGTACCTATTAATATTAACAGTGTAACTATTAGTATAAACAGTATAACTATTAATATAAACAGTTTAACCTAATAATATAAACAGTGTAAATATTATTATAAACAGTGTATCTTTTAATATAAACAGTGTACCTATTAATATAAAGATTTGATTAAATTTTTTATGCTAGGCTTCTGAACCATAATCAGTTTTTTCACTGACTAATTGTGTGAGCAAGAGTATGGTTTAAGAAACTCAACAAATATGGTTTAACAAAATCAGCAAAAGCTGAGTAATCAGTTATGCTTATATTGTCTTTATTGTTTAGCATACATTGTTCTTTTACATCTCAAACAGTATTGTAAGGTGGATATAGGAAGATATTACAGGTTACATAGGATAAAGAGGATATTACAGCCTGCTTTAATTGCAGTCAAACAAACTACTAATATGGATCCTTAGATAGTCCACAATCAAGTTGAAGTTTCATTTCTCCCCTAAAAAATAGTTTAAAAGTGGTTGAAATTTGTTATTGCTACAATTTTACGTTTTAAGTTTTATAAGAGACCATATGAATATACTTTATATTTAAGATGTAACAGGTTATTTATACTATTTAAAATATAAAAATACATTATATAAAATACCTTAACATATATGAATCAATGTATACAAAAACGTTCTAAGTCATTTTTTTTTAATATTTGACTTTTTGATGAAAATTAGTTCTTTGAAGACAGTTCCACCATTGTATAGTAAAACATTCCAAGTCAGACCTTTTCGTACAGGTTGAATAGAGAGCTGAAAGATTTTTTTTTGAATTTATTAAAGTAATAATTTTGGATTTAATACGTTTTTTCTCATTTCTCAAAAAAATAGTTTTTGTGACTTAGAATGTTTTTGTATACATCAATTCATATAATATATTAAGCAGTGATTATTTAGATATAGTTATTAGTTCGTATTAATGATAAATAGAAATAAATTGCGATAAAAGTATACAAAGGATAAAAATGAGAATTGTGAATTGGGCAAAAAATGTGAGCTGAAATCTAATTAAAAAAAGAAAAGAAATTATTTATTATTAATCTAAACCAGCGGTTTCAGGTAATTTTTGGTAATAAAAAGAGATAAAGAGGCCAGTTCTAGATTATCTCAATAAAAAATAATTTAGGCATTCAACTTCAAACAAGCATGGAAATTTTACAACATCAAGTTTACTTGCAATCTAAACTGCGTAAAAATACTAAAAAGTTTAATTTAGTTATATGCCTGCTTCAAAGTAGACATATAACTAAATTGTTATATGTCTACTTTGTCGAAAAGTTAGGAAACTCTTGATAATAACAGGGTTTGGTGTTATCAGTGGCGCTTGACTAAATATCTCTTCACACAAAACTAGTCAAATATGTTAAGAAAAACGGTGTGAAGAAAAATGAAAAATTAAGCTCTGCCAAATTTTAGCAAACCAGAAAAACTTTGAAAATTACTTTAAGGATCTTTTTGTAAGACCGTGTCGGAGTAAGAACAGTTCATTCTTAAAACAGAATAAGTTCAGTAAAAAAGGTAAAACTTTACAAATAAAAATTTAGAAGATATTTTTGTTTTAGTTAAAATTAAAACTTTTATGCTTCCTGGCAGCAGAGAGTAACATAAAGAAAAATAAACAAAAGCAGTGCAATTAATAGAATTTAATTATGAAATTAAACTTAGTTCTGATACAAGTTTTAATTTATTATTAATGTTGATTTTAAGGTTAAGTGATATTATGTAGAAAGGGACATATGCTATTATAACTGAAGCTTCTGCTGAGCTTAAAGATATACAATTGCAGTTACATGTTAACGATGAAAACAAGGTGGAGGAAGACATCAGTAAAGAGGTAAAAAAAAAAATGTCAATACTAAAAACCCATCGAGCTAATCCCTAGAAAAAAATTTATTAAAAAATATTTATGTTAGTCTTGGCCTAAAACCTTTAAAATTTTTAAAATCTTTGTTGTCTTTTCCATTACCATGTAATGGAAATTATAATATGGGTTACTATGTAAAGTTGAAATTATAATATGGGTAACTTTACATAGTAACCCATATTATAATGAAATTATAATATGGGTTACTATGTAAAGTTACCCATAATATATTTGTCATTATTGCAATAAAATGCACCTCACTACCAAAAAGCCTCTCCTGAGTTTGTGCATGTTTTTAGAAAAAATATAAACAATAGGGCAATATAGGAAAACATACCCAAAACATCTAGTATGCATAAGTATTAAACTACAAGAAACATACAAAAAACAAAAATAAAGAAAAAATAATGATATAAGCAGTTAAATGCTAAAATAATGATACAGACAGGTAGTAAACTATTGAGAACTAATAAAGTAAAAAACAGTAAAAATAAAAGATTGATAAGTAAAGGTACCCAACCATATTTAAAGTGCAAATATTGTAACTGATTGATAAACTACTCCGATAAGTTCTTCTAACAGATTATGTAATAAAAAAAACAAAAAACTTTTTTTTTTTTATAAATATTTAGTTTTTGTTTATTGTAATATAATTATGAAGTAATTAATAAAATGAAATTATAAATTAAAAGTTTTTTATTTTAAAATATTCTTATTAATTTTATTTTAGAAATATTTCAAGAGCTCACAAATTTATAGCTAAACTTCAAGCTGGTTCTTGTTATATAAATACATACAATATGTATCCAGTGCAAGTACCATTTGGTGGCAATAAGATGTCTGGTATTGGTCGTGAAAATGGAACACAAGTAATTGAACATTATACACAAACAAAGAGTGTTTATGTTGAACTGAACGAAGTTGATAGTATATTTAAATAATTCTTTTTATATTTTTATATTCTTATTTTTTGATTAAAAATTTTTTGTTTTGTAAATCAAGTTATTATTTTTTCTTTATACATAATTTTAAAAATATATTTAATTTTTTATTTAAAAAGTTAATTAAAGTTTATCTAGTAATTTAAAGGTAGAGAAACATTTTTAAATAAATATTTACTAGTGAAATTGGTTTTCAATTTTTAGCTAAAAAAAGGTCCCTTATATTAATTTTTAATTAATGCTTGCAGTCCCTTAGATAAATTTTTATTAAAGGCTTCCTGTTCAAACATGTTCATGTTCACGCATTCGAACTTTTGCCAATTTTTAAGAGGTTTAAATTCAAACTTTTTCTCTTAAAGTTCGAACATGTATGTATATCAAAATTAGGTTCTTTATTATCATTTTTTAACAGTGAAACCAAAATTGACTTTTTTAGACAGTTTTCGTTACTCTTAATTTTTGTTGTGCAATACTTTTTTTCAAAAGCAACACATTTAATTCACAAATGCAATATGTAAACAAATGATTTAGAGCATTACTTTTAAGTTTTAAATTTAAAAGTTATGTGCATTACATATTTTTAATTGTTAAAGAAATCTCATTGTTAAAAGTTGAAATTAAAAAGTTACCCATCGTTACAATTTCTGAATTGAAAAAAAAAGATGAGTTTTGACGATAGCTTTGACCAGCTAATAAAAGTTTTAGTTGTACAAAATAAAAAATAAGTTTTAAGATGTAAGCACAACTAAAAGGCATGGAGCGTGATTTCGAATTTTCTGAAGAGTTTCAAAGTTCTAAGTAAAATTATTCTCAAAACACTTGGCTCAACAACAACAACTATTACAACAAAAACAACAGCTATTACAACAACACCAACAACAACTATTACAGCAACAACAACAGCTATTACAACAACAACAACAGCTATTACAACAACACCAACAACAACTATTACAGCAACAACAACAGCTATTACAACAACAACAACAACAGCTATTACAACAACAAAAACAGCTATTACAGCAACAACAACAGCTATTACAATAGCAACAACAACTATAACAAGGCATTTAAAAGCAAAACACAAAATTGAAATTCCTCAATGCAATAACTCTGCGCCCGAGGCTGCAACAAACATTTCTGCTGCCAAAATAGTGTGAATTAAAAGTTTTTTTCAAGGATCATAAAACTCTCAAGGAATCATTTCAAGGAATTATAAAACTCTACCTGAAATTTTGAATCAACTATCAGCTATTGATGGAGTCAGCTTTCATACTATAGTTAAAATCCCTCAAAGTCCTCAAACCGCTCATGATCTTGTCATTATATACTTCAGTTATAAGTTTTTTGAAAATGAAACTTAAAGATAAATGTAAATTTAGTCTTCCATTTGATGAGTATACTTCTGTAAAAAACAGAAGATATATGAACTTAAATCTATATCATAATGAAGGATTTCAATCACTTGGAATGTTAAGAATTCAAGGTACAATGCCAGCAACAAAAGCTGTTAAATTGATCAGTGATAAGCTTAATTAATTTAATTTAAATTTGGACAAAAACATTGTAGTTTCTGTTACTGATAAAGCTAGCTTAATGAATAACTTTTTCATGACACTAAACCTGTTACAACCAAGCTATTCATCTATGTGTGATTGATGTGCTTTTTACAAAAAACAAGGTTGATGCATATAGTTCTGATAATAACCCTGTTGATGGTAATATTGAAGCTGTAGATTAGGATTAAGGTTACAGTGATGATGAAGATGAGACTGATGTTGGTGATGATATTCAAACTGTTCATGCAGTTAGTAAAGATTCTATTCCATTATTGAAACTTGAATATGAAGAAACTGTGGCAAAAATAAGAAATTTTTTTTTAAAATTTTGTAGATCACCAGTAAACAATGATGACGAACTTCAACCAAATATAATTGAAAAGTTTGGAAAAGAAAAAGCTTTGGTTTGTGATTCAAAGATAAGATGGAGCACTATTATTGATATGCTTGAACATTTCTTGGAGGTGCAAACAGAAGTAAAAATAGCTCTGATTGATATGAATATTGATTTTCTTCTAATTAAAAATCAGCTTGATGTCATAAATAAACTTTTTGTTGCTTTAAAACCATTAAAATTGGCCATTATTTCTCTTTCATAAGGAGATGCTGATCTTTTTTATTCTAAAATTGTAATTGAATATATATATAATATATATATATATATATATATATATATATATATATATATATATATATATAGACATACAATAAAATAGTAATAATAATAATTGTAATAATAATAGTAATAACTTTTGTAGCTACTAAAGTTAAAAAACTTTAAAGTTTTTAAGTTAGTTGCTGAAATATTTTTAATGTAAAAATATATTCTTTTTGTATTATATAATCTATATTACTAAGTATACAACTTTTCAAAGCATTTGGGGAAATAAAGTTAAATGCTTTAAAAGTTTATTAAGAAGTGATATCAATTTAAAGAATCCTCTTGATTGTGGGATCATTTAGAACATTAAGGGGTTTACAGGAACTGATTTATGCAATAAATGTGCATTTTTTTAAAATATAAAATGAAATAAACAATAAAATAAATATTCAAATTTAAACATTAATTTAAAAATTGTATAAATATTTTTTAGAAAAATGTTATAGAAAATTAAAAAATAAAATTGGTTTCCATGTATCTTTGTCATAAAAATGCAACAGAAAGCTCGTCTTGATTATTACTTCAGTGTTGGTAACTATTTTAATATTTGTTTTTTAATTTGATTTTTAGTCAATTTGTTGAAAAAGTTACTAAAAAAAACTTCAAAATTTTAAATTATGCTTCTAGTTAAATCAGAAAACTTTATTTTTACATTTTTTCTACTTTGTTGTTCAATATAAAGTTTGTTACTCTTTTTTTATTTGTGGTTTGAAATTTTGAACTTTTTTTATTTGCACTTTGTTACTATTTCCATCATTACTGATAAGCCCTCCCCTTAGAGATAAGGGGAGGGCTTCATAAAGAGGGCTTCATTGAAAAATGTCTTGGGATATAGTCAGGTTGTATCTGTATAGATATATATATATATATATATTTTTGCAATATTTGTTTTTTTAAACTTTGTATGATCTCTTTAAACTTTTTTATAGTCCAAAAACAGATATTATGTCATCAGAGTTTGACGCATGGTTTATTTCCATTATATATTCAGGAATTAAGTGTTAGACATGATGGACATGTGCGAGACAATATTTACTGCGCTATGGCAATATGGAGCATGTCTCTTGGATATAGGTTTGCAATTTTTGTTTTTGATACAATTTGATGATTTCGATTGTTTTTTTTAATTGATTCAATTTTTTTTTTTTTTTTCTAACAGTTCTTTTGTTTTAAATTTTCTTATTTGTAGTTTTTTTTTTTTTTTTTTACTACAATTTTTTTAAACAATTTTTTAAAATATAGACATCTGGATAATGATGGAGGTCGAACACACTTATTACAACAAAGTACTGTAAAGTGTATGCGAGGTCTACTCTTTTTTTTTATGCTGCAAGCTGATAAGGTTAGTCAATATAGTTGATTTGAATATTCACAGTTTAAGTAGTTACAAATTCATATTTTTATTTAAATTTGTTGAATGTAGTTCAATCAATGTTAATTCAATCCCAACAAGGCTGCAAGCAATTACTATTAAGTTGGGAGTGAGATGAATAGGAGGTTTTTAGAGGTAGAGAATGGAATCAGGAGTAAGATTAAGGCAAGAACAATAAAGAGAAGCAACCTTTGATTGTATATATGGTTTCCGTGAGAGGTCAGTAGTGAACAATAATTCAAGAAGATGTAAAAAAAGGAATCAGTGAGAGGGTTGCCATTAGGAATTTTGACAGTATTGCAATAGTTGTTTGCAGTAAATAACTAAGTTTTGTTTAGGTTAAAATTAATAAACCACTGCTAGCCCTAATTTGTTGCAGAAGTTCAATTCAATATCAGCTGCCTGTCTTAAGCCATCAAAAAGATGTTGAGACAGGAGTATAAAATGAAGTTGCCAGCAAATAGCCACTTTAGATGTTAGGTTGTCAGGAAAATCAATTATAGATTAGAAACAAAACAGTACCAAGGATAGAACCTTGAAATACCGCAGAGTTTACTAGATATAAAGAAGAGTGTTGGCCTTCAAGGATGACTTTAATAAAGAATTAGAAAGAAATGATTTGATAATCTCAAAAACTTTTCTAGATACACCATATAAAGCAAGCTTATGAAGAAGACCAACATGCCAAAATTTATCAAACGCTTTGATTTTTTCAGATATGTCAAGAGCAACAGCCCTTGCCTTGCCACCTCCATCTGATGCATGATAGAATCTTTACAAAATCAGTCAAAGCAGTTAGCAAGTCAGCCACCTGAACAAGTAGATAAGAAACCATATTGATTGTCAGACAGTAAGTTATTTGTTGATCAAAAAAATCAAAGACCTTGCTAATAATAGAGCCAAAACTAGTCAGATGATAGTTAGAGTGATCAGAATGTTCTCCAGAGTTTTGGAACCATAGATGCAATTTTCCGGCAGACAGGTAAACAAGAAGTCAAACACTTATTTAATAGTTCAGAGAGATTTGAAGAGAGTTCTGGAAAACACTTTTGTAAGACTATGACAGGAATGTTTTCTAGACCTCAAGATGTAGGAGATAAGACTTTAGCAATGGAAACTAGAGTGATTTGAATTTCTAACAATTGTTTAACCTCTTTAACTGGAATAACAGGAAGAGTATGGCCTTAAGATTTAAAAGTCAAGTTCAAAGAAATATTGCAAATAGTTCTGCTTTATTCTTGGGAGATGTATTAAGATCAGTCCCATGATTTAGAGATGAAATTTTTGAATTTTCTCTCTCAGCTGATAAATGTATCAGCTGAGAGAGAAAAGAAAAAAAACTCTCCTACATAACTTCATAGATCCAGACAGGTATAAAAGCTGTTATTCCTTATCGTTGGTTCCAAGTCAAGCCTCATTCTACTACATAGTTTTTACTTTCTTGTGCAGCTACTATATCTAATCATAATCATTTTTCATCTTTTTCAAAACAACAATTTTATTGAGAACAAACACTTATTAATTATTTCAAGAAACCAATGTAAAAAGGTACTGTTTGATGCTAAACTCCATTATTTCCAGCTAAGTAAACTAACTAACAGCTAACTAAATCTCATATCTTTTCTCAGAAGTAAGGCTCTAGAGAATTTTTTTTGGAAAAACTTCAACAGCATCATTAACAAAGGTAATCAAAAAATTTCATCTCTAAATCATGGGACTGATTTAGAGATAAAATTTTTGAAAAAAGAAAATTACAAAAAAAGTGGTGAATGTTTTTTATGTTTAATATTTTTGGTTACATTGGACATGGTTTAAGTTTAAAGTAAATGTGACTCATTCATAGATAGAGCACAGCATCCCAAGGATCGCACTATGTAGTTGTCCCAGTCCTGCTAATTAACCCAAAATCAAAACTTCAGACTACTTATGTGGCCTTGACAATGCACACTAAAGGATAATTTAACAAGAACACCATCCATGCGCAATATGGCACTGTTAATACTCTGACAATTTACAGCTGTTGATGGAATCAGCCTCTCTGAGACCTACCTCAGAGTTCAAAAAACCTCCTACGAGCCTCAAAACCATTAAACTGAGTTTTAAACCTGTACCCTCATTAGGAGAAAACAGTTAAGCAAAGGTTTACATCTATGCCAGGCTTATGAAAAAGAGGTTCAAGGATGGTCAACAGGATTATTCTGCTTCCACCTAAAGTCTTTACCTATGTGGCCTTCTACAGTATCTGTATGCCCTTAACATCTCCCAAAAATGAAAGTTTTAATCAAGACATTATCTCTAGTGCTAAACATACAAGTATACTAAAATCTACAGTCATAAATATTTTAAATAAGTTTAAAACTACTCATAGAAAGCATAGAAAGAAAGCCAGGAATTGAAAAAGGAAAAGAAAAAAATTTATTCTTAGTTAAGTAGTAAGATATATATCAACTAGTCAAGAGAGATCTAGCAAGAACATTCAAAATGTCACAAATGCTAAATAAGAAGCTTAAAAAGGATTTAAAGGAATTTGACATGCAAAAAATAGTAAAAATAATGATGAAATTATGTGCATAGTTGTTATGAAAACAAAACTTATTTCAAGGCAGATTTTTTAACTTCCTGGTCAACAATTTTACAATGAGAACAAATCTTTTCACTAAAAAGGCCTTGACTACTAATCTCTACATTAAGGCATCCCTCCAAAAAAAGTTTTTGCCATTTATAAAAAAGCACAAATGATGATATTTTTTTTGGCCCAATCTAGTTGCTTCGCTATTCTAAGAAGGTTTTCCATTGGTGCAAAGATAATTCCAAATACTGTGGAAATTGTTTCTAAAAATGTGAAGTCTCCTAATGGCACAGAAGAGCACAAGAATGAAGATTCTTGGGCAATAGTTAAAGAAATTCTTCATCAGGCAGATGGAGTGGCAATAAATGACAAATACTTCCGGAAAAGTGGATTAATGCAACCAATAAAGCGACAGAAAAAAAATCTTTGGAATGTTGGGATCAGCCGACACAAAATATATTAAAATTTTAATATATTTTTTTATAATAAAAATCATAACAGCAACCTTAAAAGGTTTCAAAAACATCTTTGATAATAAAAGTAACTCTTAAATAACTCTTAATGCAATCATCATAACAATACAACAATAGCAAACCCCTTTGGCATTTGCAACTCTTGGAATTAGGGTCGGCATTCAGCAATGCCGATCTAACTGCCTACTTGAAAGTGCTTGAGGTCGGTAAAAAATTGCCAACCTTGTTTCTATGTTTTATGGTCAGACCTTAGTATAAAATAATTTTTTGCTGACTTGATGCCGACCTCTAAAAGATTAAGGTTGGCAAATTATTGCCGACCTCATTTTTCCCAATTCCGAGGGTTGCATTTGTAATGCTTTCAACAACTACTTTTTTAACGTTAGTAATTAGTTAGTACGTTAGATGTCCAGGCAACAATTTCTTTATCCATGAATCATTTAACATATTTTTTATCTAATATTTCTCAAAAATTTATTTTTGTAAGACCTACTGACAAACATGAAATTTTAAAAATTATCAACTCTTTAGACGGAAGTAAAGCTTCTGGACTAAAAAGTCTTCCAGATAAAATTCTAAAACTATTAAAAACGGACCTTTCAAGAATCCTTTCTAACATTTTTTGATATCTCATTCTTAAGTGTATCTTAAAAACTGTCAATGTTATACCTACTTTTAAAACTGATTAATATCAAACTATAGGCCGAACCTCTTCTCAAACATTGACAAAACTCTTGAAAGACTAATCTATAATGGCTTATATACGATTTCTTGAATTAAAATTGTTTTTTAAATTTCAATTTAGTTTTCAAACAAACTACTCTACATCACTTGCTTTACTAAATCTAACAGAAAAAAAATAAATATTCTCACGACGAAGGAATGTTTATATGTGGTATTTTTATCGACCTTCAAAAGATATTTGACACTGTAGATGTTGACATTCAACTTTATAAACTAACCTACTATGGTTTTGGAGGAGTTATAAATTGCTGGTTCTTTTTTTCACTTACAGAACTCATTTAGTATCTATTAGTGGGGTGAGTTCAAACTTAAACCATATCAAAGTAAGTATGTTCCTCTTGTGTTTCTCTTGCCATTCTGTCAAAGCTAAGACATTTTATACAACAAAAAATTTTAAAATCTATTTACTATACTTTATTTCAATCTCACCCCACATATTGCCTTCTATCATGGAGTTAAAACATAAGTATTGTGAATTGCCTATTTATCACGCAGAAAAAAGCAGTCAGGATTATTGGATTTTTACCAAAAAGTTTCCATACACCCACATTTTTTAGCGCATTATAAATTTTAAATATAAATGATATAAATGAAATTGAAAATTCTTTATTTTTTAACAGTTGCCTTAACAAAAAGCTACCTTCTATATTTAATAAATGGTTTACTCTACACAGTGCAATGAGCTGTCAACTTACAAGAAAGTCTTGTAGAGGTGCACTGAGTGTGCAAGCATATAATACAAAATCCTACAGTAAACACTCCTTTAAATACTCTGCAATAATGGACTGAAATCAACTTCAAAATAAATTGAAAACAATCCCTTTTTGCAATATTAAAAAATATTTATAAAAATATGTCCTTAAAACTAAATTATACTACTTGTTACATCAAGGTAAATAGAAACAACAGTTGTATCATTGGTCATAAAAGATTTATCATATAAATATGAATGTTGATTAACAGCAACCTTCTGTGTGTGTATTAGTTTTTTTTTTTTTTTTTTTTTTTTTTTTTTTTTTTTTTTTTTTTTTTTTTTTTTTTTTGTTTATGACCGCTTTCCTCGATTTAGCCAGGCTAAATGAAAATGAACCATACAGAATGTACTGTACATGTAATTTATAACATGCTTATGTAAAATATCTATATATCTAGTAAATTCAAACTCAACTCGTTTTTCATTTCATAACAATTCAACTCGTTTCTCCGCGCAGCGGCCTTGTTCGTCAAGGTTCGTGTTTCGGAGTTATAGAGTTGAGAGAGGGTTATAGCCACAAAATAAGTAGCCTCTTCGTCTGTAGTGGCCTTCTCGGCCTTGAGGAGATGAAGTAAAATTAAAAAAAATAAAATATATATATATATATATATATATATATATATATATATATATATATTGCTTTTTGTTTGTTTTGTTTAAACTTTTTATTGCTTGTATTATTTCTATATGTTTGAAGTGTTGTATTACTGCGAGTAAGTATTGTTTATTTTATTATACTGCTGAAAAAAGAAGGGGATGGCTAGAATATTGTCAAAAAATGATATTGTTTTAAAAATCTCAATTTTTAAAAGACATGTTTTTCAGCTACTAATATAATGATAATGTAAATGAAAAACAGATAATTAAGAGAATTGATCAACAAGATATTAAAAATTATGGGCATACCATCACACTACAGACATGATCTATATAATAATAATGATTTACTGTACCAAAACACTACAGATATGTTTTACTATTGGAGATCATGTCCAATTATGCTTTTTTTGGCAAATGACATTTTAATTAATTCTCTATTAATTGTTTTTATTAAATTTTCTCTGTCACGACATAATGTACCTTGGTGAGTTAAAATTAAAAAAATAGATTGCTGAATTGTTGTTATTTTTGACAAATTATTGTATCAATATGCAAGCTGGAATTTTATAATATCTGCATATTGATCTTTATCAGATTTTGAGGCTAGATAGCTCAGTTAGTAAATATTGTTAAATACAAATAAAACTTAAAAATATGTGGCGCAAGAATGAAGCAATCCAATATTTGCCATTTTATAAGTAATAGTAGTTGGACCCAAACAGAAGTTACACAACTTTCCAATAATTGAAGTTACTTTGAGTTATTTGTAAGACAAATTAAAGCTGTTTCTTTACTAAGCTATATCCTTGGTTATAAATAGTATTATCTAGTAAAATATATGATTAATAATAATGAAAATATTGATGAAAATATTTACTATTATTATTATTTTATTTTTTAATAGGGTTTTTCAGAGATTTTTCCTTGTGTTCTTTTTTATATATTTTTTTCTTGTTTAATTTTAAAATATGAAAGTTTTTAACTTTATAGGTTGAAGCTTTTAAAAAAGAACAACAACCTGATAATGCTCTAAGTGTAAAGTTTGATATAAGAACTGCTGATGTATGGGTAGATCCATCTTACAAAAATTTACAGGTATTTAATATAGTTTTGCAGGTGGCTTTAAAAAAATTAGTAGTTGTCTGCTGTAGTTAAAAATTTAAAGGTTGTTAAAATAAAATCAATAATAGGTTATGATATTTTAAAATTTAAAGCTAATTTTTTGCCTTGGATATATATATATATATTAGGGTGTCCCAAAAAACAACATTTTTGAAAATAATCTGCTCTCACCCCCTAAATGTGTTCTATCTAATACAAAAACACTAGGTTTAAATTTTTTTTGAATAAAAAATTTTTAAGGGGTCCTCAAGACCCTCGAATATTATATATACATATATATAAAATATATATTATATATATATATATATATATATATATATATATATATATATATATATATATATATATATATATATATATATATATATATATATATATATATATATATATATATATATATATATATATATATATATATATAAAAAACTTTCTGGTGCTGCTGCTTTAATTTTTATATGTAATTTAAATAAGGAAATGCCATTTTAAAAACTAGTACAGGTCACAAAAGTGTAGAAACATGGTCATTAAACTTAATATATATATATATATAATATATATATATATATATATATATATATATATATATATATATATATATATATATATATATATATATATATATATATATATATATATATATATATATATATATATATATATATATGTATAATATATATATATAATATATATATATATAATATATATATATATAATATATATATATATATATATATATAATATATATATATATATATATATATATATATATATATATATATATATATATATATATATATATATATATATATATACAGTGCTCGAAATAATTATTTAGAGGTTACCAATCAACACTGATCGGCAGAAAAGATAAATATTGAAAAGTAGACGATCAAATAATTTTCCGGACAATCAAATATTTTTGCAAGTTTTATGTAAAGTAATTTTTGCTTCACACTTTTTACGTTTGTGCTTGATAGCACTGCTTATTCCGCAGAATTCCCATTTTGTTTAAAATTCCGAAACAATTAAAAAGTAAAACTTATACTGGGCCTTGTTTTAAAGTGTCACGTTATAAATATAAACGAGCCTCTTAAATAACGTTGTAAATGCACTTTAGGAAGCCCTTAAAAATTTTTTTTTTTAATCCCTATTTTTTATACTTTTTTAAAAAAAAATGATAAAAGAAATATTGGGAACTTTTAAGAAAACATTTATTGATTAAACCTATAATGCAAGAATATTTATTTAAAAAAGAAACAAAATACTGTTTGTTATTGTAACTTTCTTTCGTAAAGTTTTACTTTATTCTTAGCAAGTGTTTCAGATCCTAATTTCTTTTTCAAAGAAATAATTTTCTGTTGCTTTTTCTCGCATCTATTTTATGATTATTTTAATACTTTTTATATAATTTTACTTCTAAAACTTATTAATAATTTTAAACAAAAACAATTTTATTTTGCTTAAAGCATTATGACGTTTTATGAAGTCAACATTCTTTCTACAAATCATAAACTTGCATTATTTACTATTTTTCAAAATTTTTCACATGAAACTTTAATGTTTCATTTTGGTATCAATATTTTACTTTTGTCTTTTGAAGATTTTTGTGACGTTTGTTTAAATATGTTTTTGAATTTTTAATATAAAGTTTGATATGCAATTCTTGATGAATAAATTTGGTTGTTTAGAATTAATTTTGGGAGATCAAAATATCATTTTATATATATATATATATATATATATATATATATATATATATATATATATATATATATATATATATATATATATATATATATATATATGCATAATTTTCCTGAATTTTTAATTGATTAAATGTATTAACTATTTTTAGATTGATTGCATATCCTTGTATCTCCTTGTGCTAACCCAAATGATAGCATCTGGTTTGAATGTAAGTCTAATAAACTTTTAATTTTTTAAAATCTACATCAGAGTATATAGTTGTTTTGCAATTATTCTAGTCATTTTAGAGGTAAGATTTACAGATAGGCTATTAATATAGATGAGAAACTACAAAGGACCAAGAATGAAACTTTGAGATACCCCAGATGTTACTAGAAATAAAGGAGAGTGTTGTCCATCGAGAACCACTTGTGGTTCTCGAGTGTTGTCCATCGAGAACCACTCAAATACTGTGGTTAAAAAGGAATTATTTAAAAATTTCAAAATCATTCCTAAATGCATCATATGACAAAAAAACCTCTAGAATTTTTATTTCCAAAGTTTTTTAAATGAGTGTTTCAATGTTGAAAATTCAGTAATGAAATAATAGTTTAGAAAATATTAGTATTTTTTCTTAATGTTTATCAAAAGATTCAGATTTAGTTTTTTAATTAGACGAATGTTTCTAAAATGAAAAAAATTGTTTTGCTTTATCTTTGGGAAATATATTAAAATCTACCTAGATAAAATGTTAAATATTTTTTAATGGTCTTTGTAAATATTTTTCAAAAGTTTCAAGAACTTAACTACAAAGATAAAATATGAAATTTAGTAATTTGAGAATAATCAAGTTTAATATTACACATTTTTTTGTATTAATCTCTTGCAATTTTATAAGGATCTTTGTTTTTTAGAGAGCTGTTCTGATAAAAAAGATGATCGAAATATTCATAATTAGAAACAGCTATAATAAAGTTTCTCCTAGCAGCACAATGAAATTTTTATCTTCTGATATTCTGCTATGCTAAGTATTTAGCATAGCAGATAATATTTAACAAATATTTGAAAAAATTATCTGTTTAATAGAATCTCCTTTTCTAATCAATTGTTGTGTTTGTTATTCAATATTCGAAGATAATAATCATATCACTGATCCTTGAGAAACTTTTTGCATAGGGGTAAAGTATATGGGTCATTCCATGTCAAATCAACTTAAAAAAAAAAATTTCGGCACCATACCATCTCAGATTTTGCTGATTTTTGGAGTAAAAGCTCAAATTAATAAAAGAAAACTTCACTCCAAATTATAGTATCAGACTTCTTACGGTTTCAGAGATATTGATACTCGGTCCCAATCTCTTTTTTGACTTTTTTTTAGCGCCATTTATTTTTTAAGCTTATTGCACAACACAATTAGCTTTAACTAATAAAATACTTGTACAATAATGATGAAAATTTTTACCTAACTACTTTTTAGGGTGAGGAACTCAAAAATCATGGCTAAAGCATTAGAAAATTTAAGTTTCTATAAAAATATTCAATTTCAAAATGTTAAAACACTTTTTGTAAAATTTTTGATGCCCCGTACAAAAAAAAGTTTATCTCGAGATGCCTAAATGATATGATTCTGAAATTTTTTCCTAATGTTCTATATGTAACAAACTCCATAATACAAAAAATCTGGAAGGGTTTTCTTTTTTTAAATCAAATTTGTTTGCATTCAAAGTCTTACAATAATAAATCAAAAAAATGTTAAAATTACACTAAAACCATGGAAGTAATTAAATTACAATAAGAAAAATTAAAACTAAAAAGTAATAAGAATTAACAATCTTCGACATTTAAAAAAAATAAGAATTAAAAATCTTTGACAGATAACAAATTATTTCTCTGGTTTATAGTTTGCCCAGCTATCTTTAATGCTCTGGTGATCAATTTCACTGATTTTGTATTGTCTTCCTGTAACAGTTGTTGCAATATTAATCATTAACAATAAGTTTGTTGATGGAACCCAGCAAACATCATCTCTAGAAAGCCAATACAGGCCTTGTTTTAAAGCGTTACGCCTAGAGCGATTTACGTACGCGTAGAGCTGTTTTGGTTAAGCTACTTTTTATAATTTTTTAACTTTTAAATTAGCGGTAACATAAAATAAGTAATTAATTTTTAAAAAAACCACATTAACTTTTAAATAACGATATGTAAAGATATTTATTAAAAAAAAGAGTTTACTTTAAAAATAATTGTTGTAACTTTTCATTGCGATATATCTTTCCTTTTTATAGCAATTAATTTGACGCTAAACTTTTTATCCAAATATTTAGCAACATGAAAAATTGTTTGTCAATCCTTAACGACAAATTTTTTGCAATGTTTTTAATAAAAAATAGTAATTTTTTAAAGTTTTCAGCAAAAAACTTTTTTAAAAAATCTATATTCCATATTTGTTAATACAGAATATAAATGTTTTTTGTAATATAGATTTTTTATGAATTTTTTACTGAATTTATAATAAAAAACATTAGCAAAAAAATTTATAATTAAGAATTGACATTTTTTTTAATATCTCAAAAAATGTCTTAATATTTTTGTTATCATGATAACAAAAATATCAAGATATTTTTTCGAGATATTAAAAAAAATGTCTTTGCTTTTATTATTAGTTTAAGGTATATAGATATATATTTTCTTATTAGTTAAAGGTAAAGGTATACCTTTACCTTTAAGTTATGCGGGGGAGGGGGTCGGCACAGAAGAAAAAAAATTACCTGTTACTCGCAATATTTAAATGAAGAAAATTTGTTAAATTTCTTCTGCGTGCGATTCAATAAGTTTTTTTTTTTTCATAAATCAAGTTATATTATAAGGTAAAGAAGTGAGTAGACTACAGCATCCGCTGATGACACTAATATTACGTTGAGTATATTTATATAACGGAGGTTTCATTATGCATGCTCACATTACAGGTTCCGTTAAATAAATACTAAGGCACATTTTAGTTTAATGACAGTCTCCATTTTTTACTAATGAATATGTATTTTTCTTTATAAAACAAAACAAACTAGTATATAAAAACCTTGTATATTTCTATTATCTCTAAATTGTTTAAAGTTCGAATATAGATTGTATTTTGAAGGACAAAAGATTTACTTTAAAAACTTTTAAATCTTGGGACTTTGCCGATGCTTTGCCGATGCGATGATCACAAAAAAAGAGAAGATTTACGTTATTAAAATCAAATGTAAGTTATGTGATCTTCATTAAAATAAAATATTATCCAAAAATAATGGTGCCATAAGGGCAACTGCCCAACGGTTTATAAATAACACAAGTCATGTTAAAAAATTTTAACATGTTACTATATTTTAATTAAGTTGATATATAATTAAAAATAAAAATATAGTTCAATAAATAAATTAAATTTGTTCTTAACAAAGATTACCTCATATTTATTCTTTTTTTTATTTTATTAAGTCAAATTGCGAACGCGTTCTAAACTATGTATCAAAAATTTGCTCAAAGCAGACAAAACTTTTTTATATTTTTATAAAACGCAAGTTGAAACGCTAAGCAAGATAAATTTAAAAAATATTTAAAAACCTAAATTTTTCTTTGCTAGTCAAAACAAAATCGTTGTTTAAATAATTAACATACAATCACACCAATGCTTATATTAGACAAAAATTCTTTAATAATCTCATCAGTTTGAAAATTAAAAACAAGTAAATACTCCAATTGTTCAGAAACAACTTTTTTGTGTTACTTATTGGAACGAAATTGTGATAGCTATGAGTGCCTGGTAACGTTTTTGCAGTTGCAATCTTTTCTCCATTCCACTTCGAATTATCGTGTTTGACTCCTTGGATATGTAATAAAAAGTAATTCCTATGATTTCATTTTGGCAAAAATTAAACATTGCAGATGTTGTAAGAATATGATTTGTTGTTGTTCGATGAAGGCTACCAATTGATGTTAGTCTTTTTACAGTCCCACCAATACCATCACAGGGTGATTTACCATGACTTGTTGCAAAGAAAGACCAGGTACATTTCATAGCAAAATCTTGTTCATGGTGGCATATATTTACAAAGTGTTTGCAGTTCTTGTACTGGCCAGCACACTTATCTGAAAAGTAATGGACAACTGTTAGACTTAATAGCTCAGATTGGTCTGTTGTTTTCCATTGTTTGTAATCTATACAATAATCATCATCTTCATCAATATCGTCTTGAGAGTACAACTCATTTTCAAGATAACGTACTAATGTAGATTCTTCTTTTAAAAGGGCAACGATGTATCATGCAAGTCTTGTTCGCCCTACTATAAACAAGCATATCAATAAGCTTGTGATAATCCTTTGATAATTTAACTGCACTAATCATTAACTTAACAATTTGATGGTAGGTGCACACACATACTGTATGTGTACCAGATGCTTCAACTGAAATGCACCATTTTGGACAGTGTGAGCAAAAGTTAGAAAAACAGCTCTTTATATCTGGATAACAGGTTTTAAACTTTGTATATAGCTCTTTTAGATTTGAGAGAATCAAACGCTTTTGCATACGAGATCTTCAAGCTATACTAACAAAATCTTTTTTACCAGACATTAGCCCGCTATTTACATCATGACAATAAAATTCAATAATTTTATCTACTGTTTCTTGAGGTATTTCCTTTCTTTTTTTTTTTTTTTTTTTTCAGGAAAAGATAAAATACCATTTTTCTGCAGCAATTTGCGTGATATCTGCACCATATAATTAGTAACATTAAATTCTTTTTCTATATCTTTGTGAGACCAAGAAATTGGAACTAGTATTAGTAGTTGAATTCTCTGATTACGATTGGAAATTAACATTTTTCTTTGATTTTTTTAATAAGTATATCCATGTCATTTGCTTTACCTTTAACTTCCTTAGATAATTTATTGAAGGAATCTTCTTTACTTAACTGTTCAAGATCTATATTTAAAGTCCTTGCAATATCTAACTTTACTGTTTTTTAAACATGTAACAATTTTTTTTTTTGCCAAGAGCAACTCTTGAGTGACTATTTACAGCATGCATTTTGAAAGGACTTATGTTCATAGTCGTCAAAAAAGAATGAGGATTTTTATTTAACAATTTATTTATATTAAGTTCATTATCTTCATCTTCATAAATCTGGCTACAAGTTGGTCCTCTTTGCTCATAATTCTTAAATGATATCAATTTAATCATACATGAGGGACATATCTTTTCTCCAGGAATAATATTAATGCCAATATTTTTTAATTTCCCAGCAAGTTCCATATTAATTTCTTTACATCCTCCTAAAAACATGAGTGATAATTACTGCTTCAGTGAGTTTTTTGCAAAAGTATATATAATTTATAAATAATTACAATAAAGTTTTAAAAAAGTTTCATGGTTAAGTAATAATACCTTTTCTTCTTTTTCCATTGTGTGAATTAAATGGATCACATCAAATTATGTGGATTGTGGAGTAACGTTTTAAATAAACATTCATTGTGTAGGCAAACCGTTGCATTTTCATCAAATTGAATGCCAGAACGACTAATTATCAAGTCTTTTTCCACATCATTAAGACTTGAAACTTTCTTGATATCATTGGATTTTACATATGTTTGTTTGTTACAAATTTCTTTATTTATTATTCCAATTAAACATCTTTCTTTATCATTCATATTGTTATATTATTTTTTAGTTCTGTAAGAAAGAATTTTAAAATAATTATTGTTTGAAGATTTGAAAATAGAAAATCCTTTAGCTATTAAACATAATGATTGCATAAAATAAAGATCTTTAATGTGAATTGCAATCAAGTTGATATATTAGAACTGTACCTTAGACAGCAAGATTCTAAAAATCTTTTTAAAAAATGCAAAAAATTTATCCAAATTATTTTTTTTCATTATTAAATAACAGTTTTTCTTAATTTTTTAAATAAAACTTTAAATACAAATTAATCTAATTTAAAAAAGAAAACCCTTCCAGATTTTTTGTATTATGGAGTTTGATACATATAGAACATTAGGAAAAAATTTCAGAATAATATCTTTTAGGCATCTTGAGATAAATATTTTTTTGTACAGAGCATCAAAAAACTTACAAAAAGTGTTACACCATTTTGAAATTGAAATTTTATATAGAAGCTTGAGTTTTTGTGTGTTTTAGCCAAAAAAAGTTCCTCACCCTAAAAAATAGTTAGGTAGAAATTTTGACCACTATTAAACATGTATTTCATAAGTTAAAGCTAATTCTGTCGTGCAATGAGCCTAAAAAATAAATGGCGCTGAAAAAAAAAGTCAAAAAAGAGATTGGGACTAAGTATCAGTATCTCTGAAACCGTAAGGAGTCAGACACTAAAATTTGGAGTGAAGTTTTCTTTTATTAATTCAAGCTTGTATTCCAAAAATCAGCAAAATCTGAGATGGCATGGTGCCAAGCATAAATTGAATTGAGCTGGAATGACCCATATGAGATGGTGTGGATAATTTGTTACATGGGTATAAAAGACTTTCTCCTTAAATGAGCCATTAATTTCATTAGGAAATATAATGAAATGTTAATTTGTTTCATTTAATTTGTTATATAGTTTTCTTGCCATGTGTGTGACAAAATGACATGATTTTTTTTATATGACGTTAGGACCATGTCATTTTGACATTTATGCCTAGTAATATTTCGCAAATCTTCACATTCAGTGTCATACAACCTTTTTATATTTCTTGCTTTGCCTTGCCAAAAAAATGGATTCAAAGGTGGTTAAAACTTCTTAAATTTTTTTCAAAAAATCTATATTTTTTTAAATTATCTGAAATTTTTCTTTATAATTAATTATTTATTTTTTTAAATAATCTGAAATTCTTCTTTATAGATCATTGCTACAATTGATGAAGTGCACTTTATTCAAAACCTTGTTTACTATGTGGAAAGAAGTTATCGAACTGCAGATTTTGGCATATGGGAGAGAGGTACAAGGTACAATAATGGTCGCAGAGAACTTCATGCTAGGTAAATAATTTTAAGAACTGAGTAATGCAAGGCAAACAAATTATACTGCACATTTTAATATAAATCATGTGTTAAAAATGATCATAATAGCTGTTTATAGATAATTACTTTATAAATAACTGTTGCTAGATTTATTGGTATATGGTTTTAAGGGTGTATCGGTATAGGGTCTTTTAAAGTCTTTACCCTACTCACACTATACATCCAATAGTAGACTAGTGTTAGATCACTTGGCTCACAATCAAAAGGTTTAAGGTTGAAATCCACTCTACACCTGTGGTTGTTCCTGCACTCCACCTGTTTCCCCATTTACTAGTCTTGCTTGTTGCTGTTTGAATGTTAGTGTTTGAGTTTGCAAGAGAGTAGCAAATAAAATTAAAAAAAAAATGAGTATCCTCCTTGACTGTAGTAGTCTCTTCTGAAGCTTTAAAAAAAATAAGTAGCCTCTTTGTAGTGGCCTTCTCTGGAGCCTTAGGGAGGTAAATTTATTAATTTAAAAAAATCAAAGTTCTATTCTTAGTTTTTTTGGAGAAAATTTTTAATTTATAAAATATGCATAACTAAGGTTTTGATTATTAAAATTTTTTCATTTATTTGTTTTTGATACAATTTTTGACATTTCAGAATCAAAAAGGCTTATGATTTTTTTCCAGGGTTTTGTTTTTTTGAGATACTTTATTGGCATAGAGGGAAATAAAAGTTCAAGTTAATAATTATTTTTTCTTGCTTTTTGTCTCATGGAAATCAATTAATATACTAAATATCTATTAATACAGTATGTTCAATATAGTATACTCTATATAAACCTAAAATTAACAATTTAGTTCATTTAGGCATTTTGACATAAATTTATTTAAAATAAATAATAATCAGATATTTTCTAGTTAATATTTTTATCCAAAAAAATAAATAAATAAATAATATTCTAGTCCTCTACATGCCCATAAATACATAAGGTCCTCAACTTATATAAGTCATAAATAAAGAAGGCCCTCAACTTACATAAGTCATAAATACAGTAAGCCCTCAACTTATATAGGTCATAAATACAACATCTTGTCAAATGCTTTTGAAATGTCTGTATAAGTAATCCCCAATAACAAAAGTCTTTAATTGAAGGCATGTAAGAATATCTCAGGATTATCTCAAAAAGGTTTGCTGTGCAACCAATATGTTAAACGATAACGTGCTGATGTAAAGAAGTTGTATTTGATATAGTGCTGCATAATATAAATTAGGTCTTCCATCACTTTACAGAACACCAAGATATTTTGATATTGGCCAATGGTTATTTTCCATTAACTTGTTTGTTTTTTATTTATAAAGGGGTTGCCCTCTATTCGTTTGCAACATTAGAGCCTACAATAGAAAAATTAAAATTTGTTGTTAAAGATACAAACAGTTTTTCCGAAATCTTTGATAAATTTTTTCAGCGTCATTCACAGACTAATCTTAAGACAATTATTTTTAAATTTTTTAATTGTAATAAAATCAAAACTGGCGTCACAATAAAATCAAAACTGACGTTACTTGGCTGAAATTTGGTCTAAAAAATGAGGTGATGGCGATCATGGCTTCACTTTAAATACTGAATAGAAATAGTTGTTGAGAGAATATGCTAGTTTTGTTATTAGTTAACACTACAGTTCTGTTTTCAAGTAAATGACTTTTTATCACATACTTTGATATTTTTGCTTTATACTCTGGAATTAAATTATTTTGTATTTTGCTTGCATGGATAACCACTTTGGCCCAGGCCTCTTTGTAATTATCATACTTAATCTTTTTTAAACTCCTTTTATTGACAATTTTTATAGCTCGTTACACTCTTGTTTAATAAGTTGGTGTGATCTGGTTGCTGTTGATGTTTATAATTTTCTCAGGTTTAACCTTTTTTTCATATTTCAAAATGAATGAATTAAACTTTATAAAATAATTAATTAAATATGTCTCTTCAACCACTTGTTTTACTAATCTCAGTTTTACCATTGCTAAAGACTGCTTTTAACTTATTAAAACTTAAAAAAAATGGAAAAAAATGGAAAAAATAAAGACTTAACTGAGAAATAGTAACAGACAAAAAGAATCACAATTTTTTATGATCAACATTTTTTATTGTGGCTAGTAATCATTAAAAGATAGCACAATGAAATGTTAAACTAGAATTAATATACAACATAAGTATATTAAAGTATATACAACATATAGTATATACAATATAAGTTAAACTAGAATTGTTATAATAAAACTTTAGAATAATTTTAGTTTCACTGTCCTTCGTATTTTTTATTTATTTTTAATTCATTCTCTGTAATCAATTTATTTGCATTATTTTTTGAAACATACTGTTTTTAATCTTCAAGCTTCTTATATATAGAAATAAATAAGCTTCAAATATACAAATATATTTAATAATAAATTGAGTATAATGTAAGGTTTCACTATTAATTCTAGTTTAACTTATATTGTATATACTATATGTTGTATATACTTTAATATACTTATGTTGTATATTAATTCTAGTTTAACTTTTCTTTGTGCTATCTTTTAATGATTACTAGCCACAATAAAAAATGTTGATCATAAAAAATTGTGATTCTTTTTGTCTGTTACTATTTCTCAGTTAAGTCTTTATTTTTTAAATTTTATTTAAGTTTTATTAAGTTAAAAGTCTTTAGCAATGGTAAAACTGAGATTAGTAAAACAAGTGGTTGAAGAGAAATATTTAATCAATTATTTTATAAATATTAATTCATTCATTTTGAAATATGAAAAAAAGGTTAAACCTGAGAAAATTATAAACATCAACAGGAACCAGATCACACCAACTTAAACTGTTGTATAAATAGTTTATTTATAAGCTATTTCTTTCTTGAGATAAAAATTTAGCCATTCTAATATAATAATCGTTTAATTCGTTTTTTTGGTAGTGAGTCAGCAATTAAGATTTCCTTTTGTGTAAAAGCAATGCCAACCCTAGCTTTTCACTTCTAAATAGTTTATGATGTTCGTACCTTGTTTAGGCATGATTTGAAATTTTAGTTAATTATGTCTTATCAAAAAAATATGTAAGAATACAAAAATTGACAAATCTACAGTTTTATCTATTTTTGTATTATATAAAAAATGCCTGTAAAAATGTAAACAAACGCCTGTAAAAATGCTTGTATTATATAAAAAAAATTGTAAACAAGTTTGTAAACAAAATAAATCTGGGATTTGCTTTGTAAGATTTTATTATTTATAGATAGTTTTAAAACTAAGAATTGGTATGATATTAATTTAACTAAGAATATTATAGTGAAAAAATTAACATTTTTTACATAAGAGTTATACATATAATAAAAACTATAATATTTAAGGTTATAAAAATCATTTAAGAAAAAAAAATTAAAAATAAATTTTGTGTCACGAGAGTAAATGATAAAGAAATTATATCTTCCATGTCTTCCTCGATCCAAAAATTAAAAAAAAAAAAACATTTATAAAAGAAATAAACTTAAACTTTACATAAAAAAAATCATGACTTTTTAGTAACAGTGAATAAGCCTTTTTTATCTACCTTATGGTTATTATTAATGTTTTTGCAACTTTTAAAATAAAGCAGCTTCAATAGTTGTTTTTTGAACAATCAAGAAAAAAATAAAGTGATTGAGTGAATTGTTGCTATTTGATAATGAATTAACAACAACAAGAAGAATAACATATATAACTATAATAAATATATATAAAGATAAATATAATTAATAAATATATATAACTATAGATGGATATATATTAGGGCGGGTCATTTTTCGACTTTTTCCAGTAAATGCTCAGGCCATATGATTTTTAAATGTTTTGACCCTTATATAAAAGTAATACACAAAAAAAAAAAAAAAATTATTTTTAGGTTTTCAAATTTTGACCGAAAAAATCGAGGTTTTGGGTAAAATACGCTATATACGCGGTTTGCCGCAACTTTTGACCGGTTGCTCCAATTGACTTAAAAACATCTTTTATGGAATCTTCTATCCTAAATAGACACCTAGATAGTCATTTTAGTTTAAAAACTTATAATTATAAAAGTTGACAAAAATTGTTATTTTTGATATATTTTGCTGGAATATCTTGCGTAGTTACAATTAGATGTTTTGGTTAAACTTAAATTTATTTAGTAGATTATATGAAAAAACTTATGAAGTATCATTCATAAGTTGCTGCATTTGAATTGCCGCATTTTAAACCATTGTTTTAATATCTGAATTTTGCTGCATTTTAAATGCTGCATTTGAGTTGACACATTAAATCTACAATAAATATTGTTTATAAACTATTGATAACTTTGATTTCTTTATCGATGGCTAAACGAACACATAAAAATAGTCAAAGTTGCAAATTAAGTGTTATGATTGGTTTTGCAAGTGGTTTTTAGATTCTGAGTTACCCACATTAAGAGATGTTATAAAGTATGGTCTGCTTCTAAGAAGAGATAAAAACTGCAGAGCAAATGCAAAACTTAAAGATACATGCAAAAAGGTTTTCTCAAAAGTGAAAACACAATGGTTGAAAGCGAATCCTGAAATTTCTATTGTGACGGGCAAAGTGGGTTTTAACAAAATAATAAAAGTATGGAAAAAACCTACCGATATTATTAACTACAGGTGTGATCCTGAAATTATTTCAAAGTTTAACATTACTCTGGACAAGGTATTCGATATAGCAAAGTGCAAGTGTGACATTGTTTCTTGTGAGGAGGCAAGTTGTAGTTCTTGTAATTTTAAAGCGCATATTTCTTGTCAATGCAATAGAGAAAACAAAATTCCTACAATAGAACTTCAGTTTATGAAATTTCAAAGAGAAAAATTTGGAACAAAAAGTTGTATGCAAATGGGTGCTTCGGATTTTAAAGAAACCAATAGACAAGAAAAAAATAATAAAAGAAAGGCCACTGGAAAAAAGAAGCCACAAATAGAATACCTATCTTTTCATTCTCAAGAAAATGAAATCAAAGAAACAAT